GAGAACAGTTAATCAGGCGAATAAGGAAAACAATTAGGTAGTCCGAAATACGAAGTATATTTTTGGTTTGGGACTGTTGAGCAATCATGTATGCTAATCTACCTAGAGATCTTGCATAAACAACCGGACGTAATACGGTAGCATGTCAAATGGTGAAGATGCTTGACCACGTACCTTCACTCTAAAGAAACGACCAGAACATTGAGGATCAATATCTATTATTGAATGATGAAACCTTTAGGCTAATAATTTCGGAAAGTTATTTACTGCAGCGGTAATGTGACCACTTATTTTAACCTTAATCTTCTTTGAACGCGTTCTGGTGTTTTTGTGTTCTCTGAGCTGGATGGTTTATGCGCAAAGTTCTGATTATTTTTCAGGAGAACATTTTTGGTCTTAAATTATAAATTAAAAAAATTATAAAAAGTAAAATTTATCATTAAAATGAGTGTTTCCTAATTATCTTGAATGTATTGCCAGACATTAAAAGCACCATCTGCAATACAAATATCCATTATTTCAAATTTGAGGCTTGACTGTACACGCACACTTTATTCAACAATACTCTCTTCGCAACACTGCTAACCCTTAAGTGCCAGTATATGCCAAGATACTAATCCGTAATTAAAATGTGACAATATTTAACAAGGTAAAAATCAAACCAAATACGCATAGAAGGTATTACGGAGAAACGCTTTAGCTACATAGAATTGTGCAACAGAAATTCTAAGAAGGTAGGCTTTTTGCGGGAAACAAAATCTCAGGGGTAATAATTTTTTCTTCAATTTGAGGGCAGATTTCATTTAAAAAAAATCTCACTCGGAGAAGTGGTGAAAAGCAAGAGGAGACCTTAGTCCTAGTCTGGGACTGTTTATCAATACACACAAATGACTTCACTGAGGATCAAGTCCAGAATCTCCAGGTTAGACACAGAACACGTTACCGTTGATTAAATGTTATTCTAATCAATATAATTTTTTTCAATCTTGAACATGAGCGTCATTTGATGAATAACATTCTAAATTATTATATCCTCATGATCCCGTAGGTTGACCAGCACTTTTCCCTCCAACTCCATTCAGTCTTATTTTGAATCATCTTAATATTTCACCTTCTTAGTTCATCCGGAAGTCAGTTCAAGATATTCACTACAGTAGATCATCTATGTCCTATTCCTTTACGTGATCTTCCAGTCGATTTAGTCTGTCTCTAGTCGGACTCATTGGTTTGAATAAAGTCTGGGAACGCATCTATTTAGCATAAGCTTGGATTGTCAGTGATATGCATTTATAGCATGGCACTTCTACAGTCCCTTCATAACAATCTATCTTCTAATATTTTCGATTCGTATTCTTTTCTCTATACCGTCCTTTGTGAATTTTTTTTTGGACATTGACTTTCAAATAGCATCAAAGTGAAGTGTTCGTTGTACACGGCTTGTCGTCTGGATATGGTGTTAGTCTATGTATTGTGCTTGGAAGACTTTGTGTTAAAACTCATTTTATAGCGAGTGTGAACTAAGAAGTCATGATGAGTGTGTTGGTTTTAGGTTATTCCTCTTTTCAAAGTTATTCTGACTTATAATGACATACCTGCTGAGGAATTCGCAGGTACATCCAGTGACGAGTCCCGAATAGGACGAAATTCTTGATATAAGAATAAAACTTGTGCACTGTGGTAGAGTGTAATTCCATTATGGGTAAATTTTGTTTTGATAAAGTCTCACAGTGTTATACAGTAATGTTTACTGATGACGTTTCGAGCACAATTTATTGCTCATAATCATATCAAGGTAATCACACGACTTCCTAAATTCATTTATATAGTTCCATTGTTTTTCTCTTGATTTTCACTTGATTTGATTGGTAATAGTATTTTCCATATTTCAGGTATGAGTGACGAGTCAGATTGTCAGAGCATAAGAATTTAGCTAAGATAAGAATGGTTGACCCCGAGAAGATAAGTAATTTAGAAAAAAGCTCAGCAATTGCAATGCATGCGCTAACACACAACCACACAATAGGGTGGGAGAGGGTTAAAATTCTAAAAAGTAATCTAGGTAGGTGGAGAGAGAGATTGATTACTGAATCCTTGTTCATCGAGTCTACACCCAACACATGCAATAGGAATGACTCGTCACTCATACCTGAAATATGGAAAATACTATTACCAATCAAATCAAGTGAAAATCAAGAGAAAAACAATGGAACTATATAAATGAATTTAGGAAGTCGTGTGATTACCTTGATATGATTATGAGCAATAAATTGTGCTCGAAACGTCATCAGTAAACATTACTGTATAACACTGTGAGACTTTATCAAAACAAAATTTACTCATAAGGGAAGGACGAAATTCTTATTCTGAATTCCACTACTAGTCAACATTCACCAAATTATATCCTGCACTATGCTTCGCATTTGACGGTCTAAAATAGTTAGTCCTCAAACTTCATTATTCTGTTTCTATAATGAACTCTACTGAGTCTCTATATAACTGCTTTTGTATAAAAAGTCTGATTTGCCAACGTATCCAAATGGCATGAATGGTATCACAATTTCTCTAACCATTGGATCGGTCAAACGTTTTCGTGCAGTTAACAGGTGTATTTGTAGAGCGAGTTCAATAACATAACAAGCATTTGAATAAAAATCCAAGTAAATGGGATGATAGTATGACAGCATATTATGGAAAAAATACAGTAATTAGTTATATTAGTTAAACGGTTACTTTGATATACAGTTAAAATCCATAACTACAAATTATTAACATCATCCACAGAAGCGTTCACTGCTGGAGTCGTGACTACTGGTAGAAGCTGTGTACCGGATGCGGAATAGTCTTCGGATGAAGATAAGATGTTCCTGCAAATATCCAATGTATACAACACGGTTATGAGTGAAGCAAGTAGACAGTATAGACTAGTGAGAGGAAGCGACCAACAGTACACTGTATTTTAGATTGTACTCAGAAGTTATCTATATTCCAACATGAATCGTTTTAAACAAGAGTCATGTACAATGTTTCTAATTTCAACATCTGACAGAAGAGTGTACAATCATATTGTTGCGTACTCCCCATATTTTTCTCAAAAAATTATACTAGAAGAAATTGGTAATCAAAAGGAGTACAGTAATTTGTTGGTCTGAAATCGACTTTAGCTCCTTTTGTATGAGATATCAAAGCGGAAGTTTCACCCATCAGATTTTCGTATCATGAGTATTGACGTATTGATATGCCAAGAATTTAAGTCTAATCATAATCAACTTTACTTGTAGACAGTTGGAAAGATGCCTTCAGGTAGGTCAGAATGTCGAAACATGCACATGTGAAACTCAATTTTGGTTTATTTAGATTACAACCTACGGGATTATCTATATGGTTTCATAATAGTACCCTTTAATTGAAAAAAGACCTGGAACAACTGCAGAGCTTTGATATTATACACAGTTTCAACCACACTATAATTTAGCTAGATTTAGTAAATTTAAGAGTAAGATCTGTCGCTGTAGTACGTAAATCGCAAAGACTTCTGTCATTAAATTGAAACATTGTTTAACAGCAGTGGAAATCTATACAGTGAACTTTTTATCCATGATGGTTAGTATCCAGAAAGTTTTACATGCTAAGCAATTTTTTGGACGTGTCACAATAACAAAGTCCTACTTAATTGGTAGTGTTTTAAGCACAACTTCTCTTCAATAATGTAACAACGTTCTACACATTTCAGATTGGACTTGAAATCATAAGTGGTGCCAATTCTAGCTGGTGGACCCCTCAGGCATGGCTTTTATCCTTTGAATGCAACGAATACACATGCAAAATTGAGATGTAATTTTTAGCCTGACTCCTTTCATCAAAATAAGAGGACATTCCATTTTTAGTAAATTCAAAGTATATTGATTGTTAGTCATTACCAGGAACCCTGGACCCAGGTTTCGTGCCTATTGGCAATCATCATCAAGGGTTAGCCGCAACCTAGAAGGGATCAGTATCCTCTCGGATCTGAACGCTGAGAACTAATGATTATAAACATATAACCGTGACTATGCGTTGGTGACACAGCGGTAGAATGCTCGCCGACCACGCAGGTGGTTCGATCCCCGGTCGACGCACTCCTTTATCTCACTAACCCAGTAATAAGACTGGTAAAGAGGGAAGGTTTGGCTTGAGGCTAGCAACCCCATTCCGTAAAAATAAACACCACTGCTACGAAAACTTCAAGCCTCTAGCTTGAGGCCCTGTTTTCTAATGCGAACGTAAAGGAATAAAAGCAACCGTGAATACAGTGACCAATAATATTATAGATAACTCATTCGTCCTATGTTGTTTTTACACAAAATTTAGTTGACAACTGATCACTTAAGATAAAATTGTTCATACTCTTAGTAATTCATAATTTAGAAGATAACTAATAATATGGCGACAATCTGTTTTCATTCCTGTTATTGGTTACCATCTGTTTATATCTTATGATTAACAAAAGATTATTAGGATTACAAACAATGGTCTATGCGTTACTAGCCAAGTGTTCTAGGAACTGCTCGTGAAGTTGTTGTTTCACTGGTTCGAGTCCTGTCACAACTCAGATTTTCAACTTTATCCTCTGTCATTACGTTAATGTTAATCTGCCAACTCAAATTTGTTGCAGAGAGTCCCACCACAGAAAGATTTATTGATTAACTTGTCACTACTGCTCAGAAATACATATCGTTAAAAATCCTATCGTAAGCCTGTTAATCAAATATTTTTTTGAAAATAAACATCAATTCGCTTTCTTGTCGGTACGGAAACTTCCATTCTGCTGAATTAAAACAGAGAAATCAATCAAACGATAGTACATTTAGTTATGTATACAAAGTATTTAAATACACGTTATCCATAAATAGGTAGCTATACATTTGGAATATTTGAAAAAATAATATATTATATAGAAAACAAATTACATAAAAATCTGTACAATTATTTAAAGAAAAAGAAAGTTTATTTTGTCAAGTGTTTTATGATAGTAAAGTCATAATTGCTTCCACCTTAGCCACCAAATGTTTCCCATACATAGAAGAAAGAATGACTTCTCGATAGTTCTCATTCAAAACTACATCACGCTGACCAGCAGGTAACTGATCGTCTCGTGAAGCACGGTTGTTTATAAATAACTGTATGCCTACACCAGCACTTCCTCGTAAGCAAACCAAGCTTTAAAAAAGGGGAAAAAGAAGGCAAAATATGAATATATTAAATCACTATTTTGAATAAAGTGACAAGGAATATTTAAATAAAATATTCTATGATATCATTTGTATTTCAAGAATGATCTGCTCCGTAGAATTGCTTGTACGCGATGGCAAAAGCGTGTAAGCAATCTTGAGTTCTAAATACATAAGTCTGTACATGGTGAAATGATCTTGAGACACCGCCTTTTGTGGCTTGGAAATGCGCTACAAATGTCATCTCAGAGCCTCATCGTTTTTAAGTCCTGGAAAAGGGTGAAAAAACCCAGAGGGGTAGTTAGCCTACGGTCTGGTACCGGTGAGATGAAAGACTATTGTGTTGGTTTAGCATCTGTTGATGCGTCATGACTCCTTGGTTTGGATTCGAAACATCATGCACATCAGCAGTTCGAAGCATTATCGCAAATGAATGAAAATCGAAATCAAAGTCGAAAATGTTGCAACTTCCATCTCTTTTTGAGAGTAAACTGTTTCTAGATTATCTTTTTAACGTGTTCTTTATGCTGATGTCTTATTGCTTCTTTGTAGCGCATCACTTGCTGTACATAGTGTTTCGAATAAAATAGAATACAGTTACGGTTTACATCGATTGAAATCATCAAAGTAGGCTATTTCTACTTCTCAGCACCACCTATGGATTTCATAATTGCGGTTCATATTAACACAATTCTGATCAATTTTAGACTATGTAGGGGAATCCTGATATTCCAGCAACTTCAAACAGGTAATATGTAATTCTGGTAATATTCAGAAGAACAATCTTTGGCCTAGTAAATCTACTGCATAACTGAGGTTGACCATTTTTAGCTTGCCTTCAAACTCACTATTGTGCATAGCAGGAGGAACACATGTTCTAACCAAATTAGTCTATAATAGTTCACAAATCTATTTATTGAATTATCTTTTTTATCCAATCACTACATTTAATAACAACAGTATTTATTCCGACGTTCCATTAGTTATGAACGAAAGTTTAGAAGAATTCAAGTCATTAACCTCTGTGTTGTGTAACCATAAAAATTGAATAGATAAGAGACATTCAAAAACCTATTAAAAGGTATTAATTAAAGACAAAAATTAAGAGCACACATAAGACATAGGTTAGCTACTTACTGTTCACCCGACGGTGAGGCGAAAATCTTCACAACAACTGGACTATCAGTAGTTTCTTCGGGATTAGGTATTCCTGAGAATGGATTATTGCCTAAACGTACCCAACCAAGAATTTTTATGGCTAGTATATCCAAATAATTCATTTGCGCGTGCAAGACCTTAAAATAAAAATTACCACAGTTGATTTTTTATTATTCATAATAAATTCAACAACAACAAAAATTTATTTTTGTAGATTTTCTAACTCTTAAACTGAATAATTAATTCGAATTTTTAATTAATGGTGAAAATTTCAGTGTTTTGTGATAGAAACATTTTACAGGTAGAAGTTGTGACAAACTTTCATGGGAATCGCTATTACGATAGCCATCATATTTTCAACTCATATCGACACTGCAACATTGAATATGGTCAACTGTCAGAAGTTATGAACAGATCAAAAATAAAAGAGATATCAGATTTAGTACAAACTAGTCAGCTGTAGGAGAGAGAAGCAAGTTTTTCTTAAATAATTATTTACTTCATAACATTCTGTCTTTCGCATGGCTTATGTATCTTTCTACTAAACACATCTTTATAAAGTAAAACTTCGTATCCAAGCGAGATTTATATATTGAAATTATTATTGTTTCCTTTAATTCCTAGAGGAACATAGGGCTTCAGATGCGCGTCTCCATTCCCTTCGGTTTTCTGCCAACTTTTCCACCCCGCTCCAAGTCTGCAAACATGCTTTCATCTCCTCTTCACATGACCTCCTCCAAGTCACCCTTTCACTGACGACCAACTCGCCGCTTCCCTTTCGGGTTCCACTCGAGCAATGGCTTGTCTAGTGATGTCACTTGGTTGTTTGTTTCCTCAGAGTATGGCCAATCCACCTGGCTCCATTTCTTCCTGCCTATTTGTTTCACAATCGGTTCCTGCTGAGTTGGTTCGCTCATTGCCAGACATCCCTGTTGGTGATCTTTCCTGACTGGCCATCTGATCTTGAGTGGTATTCAGCGAAGACAACTGTTAATGAAGGTCTGTAGTTTGTTTGGGATGCTCTTTGTGACGCGCAGTGCAAGTCTCTGATCCGTATAGTAGCAATGACTAACTTCACATTGGAGTTGAAAATCCGGACCTTATTTTCACTTTCATGCTGAGTGGGGCTGTTGACCTCCACACAGGCTTAAGAGTAATGAAAGCTTGTCTTGCTTTCCCCATCCTTGCTTTGATATCCTCGTCAGTTCCCTCCGCCTGTAGTTGGAACGATGCTTCCGAGGTAGGTAGGTAGGTAAAAGAGGTTGTTCCTTTCAGGTTTCTCCCATTTGTGCTGGCTGATTGTTGTCTGTTGTTGTTGTTGCTGCTGTTGGTGTTGGCCAGGAATCTTCATCTTCACCTCTGTTTTCTCTATGTTCACCTGAAGTCCTATCTTCTTTGTATGCTTCTTCTGCCATCTTGTTGCATTTCACTTGGATATCTTCCAGTTTGTGAGAAATCAGACATATATCATCGACGAAGTCCAGATCCTCCAAGTTTTTTTTGTGTGAGTCCATTTTATGCCTGTTTCCCCATTGTATATTGTAACTAAGATGGTTGGTCTCACGAGGATAGATCTGCTATGTGCTTAAAGGTATATAAATAGAAGTAAAATAAAAAGTATTATTAAAACAATTTATGCATTTTGATTGAGTGCTTTAAAAGCCTCAACAACATGAAATAGACTGTCTCTGACGAGTCTGAAAGATCATATTCCCCCAGCCTAAAAGGTAGGAGTCTTTTAGGTTTGTGTAGCCATTATGGAGTGTTAAAGTACCACTCATAATAATAATAACAGCTTTATTCCAAACGGTATTTGTGGTACAGGTATGGAATTTTCAGCGTGCATTACAGTATATTGCATCTAATTACCTCATAAATTATATGAGATTTTTAAAAATAAAAATAAATAAGTTATAAATAAATAAAATAAATAAAAATTAAAAAATTAAGAAAAAACAGCGTAGAGTATTTGATTTCAAACAATGCACCACAGGATTTGAAATATAAAGTTGATGTGTGGTAGAAGATGAGAACAACAGTGTAGTAGTGACGAGGAAAGGAAAACAAAAACTAATGAGACTATTTGTTAGAGTGCTGCAGTAAGTTTATCGTGTCATACCTAACGGATTTCTCATCACATAACAGCTGTGCCATATATGGTATTGTGGAGTTTTTGTATTTGGTAGTCCTAGCATATAGCCTCCTATAGCTGCTTCTAGTTCTTACAGATGAAATGCAAGGAGATAGATGCGTATAGAGAGGATGCTCGGGGTCCGACAATATTGTATTCGCTAGTTTCTTACATGACATCATGTATCTATCCACAATAGTGTTAACCAGTTGGTTTAACGATATCCCACTTGCCCTACTAACGGCTTTTAGTGCCCTTCTCAGCGAAGCAAAGTCTTTCTTAAGTAGTCCAGGAAAGACTAATGGGGAGCAGTAAAGGAGGATGGGTAGAATACAAGAATTTACAAATTGAGAAAGTAAAGATTGCTTTATACCAGACTGCCTAAATTTCCTAATGTAGAACGTTAAGCGAAACATCTTTCTAGTAACTAGCAAGATGTGGGAAGACCAGGAAAGATCGGTGGAAAAACTCAGCCCAAGGTACTTGACATTAGATGTATTTTCAACCTCTGTGCCGTCAATGAGAGCGGGGCCATGTGAGCTAACTAGTTGCTGTAGGTCACATTTACGTCTGAAAGTGAAATTGACTACCTGACATTTAGACGGATTAAGCTTAAGTCCGTTTGAAGAGGACCACTGACTAATTTTCGACATTGGTATGCAGTCATTTTAAACAACTGAAAGTACAAATTGACAGGATGATTACATGACTACTTGCCTTCTCATAACTTATGTATGTATCTCTACTGCAACAGGTATTTTCTACGAACAAACAGAATGATTTCAACTTAAACTTACTGGTCCACAATTTAGCACGATTAATTATAGATAACTTATAATGATAACTACACTAAATGAAGTGATGCGTAACAACTCACTCAGTTTAGTATCTTCTATTTAGCGGTACGATAAATAAATTACAACTTGAATAATCGTTAAACTACCTTAAACTATTGTTGTTGTTCTTCTTCATTTGAAAAGTCTGTACACCTCTAAGAACAGAAGCTAACAAACATAACATAAACTCATTAATTGTATGAAGAAGTTTAATTTGTTAGGAGTTAAGACAGTTTACTGACAGAAATCAATTTATCAACAAAGTAAATTTATTTTAAGAAGTTCCTTAAATTCCTCGAATCTTTACTGAAAAGTTTAAGTGTTATTGAAGTGATTTTATTTTTTTAATTTTTGATTACAGCTTGATTTTTGGTACAAGTATGGAATTTTCAGCACGGATATCGGTAGCCAAAATTTTGCAGGCCGACTATAGATATCAGGTGTGCGTCGGCAGGGGATCGAACCTCGGACCATGTACATGGTCGGCGAGAGTCCTAACCACTGTGCCACCGACGCACATATTCGGCTGTACGGGACTGTGATTCAAATTTATTTCAGACTTAAAATTTAGATTTGGAAATCAAGGATATGCTTGTAGATAATCGCTTTTTCCAACCTTCATTTCCCAAGAACACTGAATAACAGTTTATGCCTGTCATTTAATAAATACACGTGTATTATGAGTCAAGTGGAATTTCGTTTTTAGCGTAAACTATAGTGCTTTATAGTGTGTAAGGTAAGTTATTTTCTTAGCTGGAATTCTGGTTGGTGTATGTTTCAGTGTCATCTACGTCATACTTATTGGTAACTGACGAAAAACAAAAGTAACCTGATCTTGCACAAGTATTTACAACGTGCTGATTACCCCGCTTCCAATCTTACAACTGTGGTTGACATTCTTCACTGGAATTTTTTTCCAGAAAGGAATTGAGTTAAATTTTGGTTAATCGGTATATTATAAACATTATAAATTGCGATAATATGATCGACGTGATTATTGCAAATATCACTTTTCATCCATGTTCACGTCTTCACTTTTAATACGTTTAACAAACACATATCGCCTTTGATTGGCTGAAACCTCCCATGCGACTGTGATTTTAACTGGACAAACAAGAACCGACTTAATTGCAACTCATTCTAACAACCCGTTTTTATCTGTACTTCAGGCATTTATACAAATCAATAAACAGTCTACAATGGATAACAAATTACAAATAAAAGAAGAAACTAACTAGATGATCAAGTGAATGACAATCGTTACAGAGAAATGATTATAGTCTTTAGAATGTAAGACATGTTACGATGTCAGTTGGTGATCTAAGACGAAACTAATAAAGTCCCTGCAGACCAATACTTGAAAAATAATTCAACATACTGATATTATGAAATGATTCTCTACAGTAGTTCCTCTAAATCAAATAAGTTTTTTATATTTTTTTATTCATTTCATTTCTCGGTGGAACATAATCCACAGGCCAGTGATTCGAAGTTTCAGTAGCAGTGATGTTTTTGTGGAATTCAGTTGCTAGCCTCATGCCCAACCTTCCTTCTTTACCGCGTTTACTACCGGGTAAGCGAGGTTTAGAAATGCGTCGGCAGTGAATCGAACTCTGGACCACTTGAGTGGTTGGCCAGTGTTCCACCACTAATTCACCGAAGCACTAAATCGTCTAAATCACATAATAAGTGATCAATCAGAATTGATTTTTTTTAAGTTCACTGATTTTTAGCTTTCATGTCTTTTCCAAACTAACAAGATGAAAAGCTGTTTGTTAAGCTTCCATCAAAGGACGAAATCATTTTTTTCAAAACTTAAATGTGAATGAACTTTATACAGCCACAACTATTCACCATTTGTTTCTACCAACTTGTAGAGTATCCTAATCCGATACACTATTTACACAGACTATCGACTGATCACTTTCAAATAGAACCCAAAAGAGGATTATACACAAGGCTGAAATGTATTATACAACTTCACACCATTAAATTTTAAATAGTAGTGAAAGTTTATGGAGAAACAATACACATACCTGGTTCTTCAAAATATCTTTGAGTCTTTTCAAATCTGTGCCTATACGATAGATCCGTGGGGCGTCAGAATATGACACAGAAATACCATTGGACTTAACCGTTACACCTATCCACGTTCGGTAAGCATCATAATCTGTACAGTAGAAACACAATCTCACTGATGTTTCGTAAGCTGAATTAAAACAATCCCAATGTGAGATAATTTTAACCGGAGAATGTCTGGAAAACTCGGATATGATGTCGTATACCCTAAACAACAAATGAAATGAGAAGCCAGAAGTTTAACAAAGCATAATATATCAGTATGCATATAATTTTAATTTATCTATTGGAAGTAAAATGCTTGGTTTTGTAAGCATATACTAACAATCTGCCTTACCCCATTTCGTTAACATCGTTACACGAAACTCATGATTATTATTTTATGCAAATAAGAAGGAAAGTACAATACTCTGGAATTACCACCTCTTTAGTAAAATTGTTTTAGTCTGACGAAACCATAAAACCTCAAAAAAAACTCTTAATTCTAATGTGCAATAGGTTAAGGTCTGTTGATGCATTAAGACTCCTTAAAAAGGGGTTAGCGAAAAGGTATTGTCTTATGGATCGGAATGTGTATGGCATGCGATAAAGAATCGACACCAATGATGACCATGAATGCTGAAGTCTTCCAAGTTCTTTTACTACATAAAAACACAAAGTTCCTACCGATTCGGGACTTTTCATCTGGATATACCTGCTCCCCGATGTGTTGTTCTCACTGAAATATGAATATTACACCAACAATTTCAAACAACAAAGCACTATTCACTAGATAACCGAGTCGGTTGTGTACCGGACAGTATTTACTGAGACTTGTGACATGTTAACAAAAACGAAATGTTTCGATTCAGTAAAACAGAAATCGGTGTATCATATGTCTATCGATTTTAAACTCCTTCTGAAGTTAGTTTCGTTAGTAAGCAGTTTCCCTTCTTTTTAAAAACATATATGAATCAACGATGTTGAGCGCCAAAGTTATGAGTTTATTCTTATCATTAGAGGTTTTTAAAAATTTTATTTACGGTTATACTTAATAAATGTGTATTGTAGCGACGTATTTTCATTGTGAATCCACCTACCAATCTGCATGCATACACACCCATAAAGATAGCATAGGCATGTTTTAGGATAAAGTAAATGACAACTTGTTACCATAGTAATAGATAATAATAAGGTTATGTTATATGTGTTCAGTTGTTTTGTTTATCAGTATTAAAAATAGTGGAAAAATGCCCAAATAACTATGGTCACTGGTGTGTTGACTCATAATAATGTTAAGAATTATGCAGAATGTGAATTAGCGTTTAAAGAAGTCAGGTCACTCTTGTTGTATGTATAAAGATTTAACTACTTGTCTTATATCTTTGTATTGAATATAATAGATAAAAATAAGTGAAACCATACATCTCTAAGATTATACATATATGTATATATATGTATATATGTATGAAGAAAATGGCTATTCACTTCTTCCTCCTATGTAAACAACTAATCATTATGCTTGTTGTGTTTCCTTTCAAATTTAAACAAAAGAAAACAAAAGCTAACATATTTTTCAATGTTTGGTATTGTTTTTAAAAATATGTAAACACAAATTCTATTATATTAATTGGAAGACATTGCATGCAGTAATACAGAGTATTCCTTCTTATTAGGTCTTCGTAATTCTATTCCGTGCTAATTTATCATAATTTATAGTTTGGTATCAAATAAGGATGAGAAGAAGAATTGCTTAAGCATATAAATGTTTCTCTATGAAGCCCAATTTTATAATATTTATGAACACACTGCTCAATGGCAAGTTAAGGATAAATATTACATTTACGTTTAAATTATCAGCAAATAAGGTGTTACTCTTTCAATACAAAGATTTGACATTCTTGCCGATTGGTATTATTATATCCTTTAATTCCTAGAGGAACATAGGGCTTCAGATGCGCGTCTCCATTCCCTTCGGTTTTCTGCCAACTTTTCCACCCCGCTCCAAGTCTGCAAACATGCTTTCATCTCCTCTTCACATGACCTCCTCCAAGTCACCCTTTCACTGACGACCAACTCGCCGCTTCCCTTTCGGGTTCCACTCGAGCAATGGCTTGTCTAGTGATGTCACTTGGTTGTTTGTTTCCTCAGAGTATGGCCAATCCACCTGGCTCCATTTCTTCCTGCCTATTTGTTTCACAATCGGTTCCTGCTGAGTTGGTTCGCTCATTGCCAGACATCCCTGTTGGTGATCTTTCCTGACTGGCCATCTGATCTTGAGTGGTATTCAGCGAAGACAACTGTTAATGAAGGTCTGTAGTTTGTTTGGGATGCTCTTTGTGACGCGCAGTGCAAGTCTCTGATCCGTATAGTAGCAATGACTAACTTCACATTGGAGTTGAAAATCCGGACCTTATTTTCACTTTCATGCTGAGTGGGGCTGTTGACCTCCACACAGGCTTAAGAGTAATGAAAGCTTGTCTTGCTTTCCCCATCCTTGCTTTGATATCCTCGTCAGTTCCCTCCGCCTGTAGTTGGAACGATGCTTCCGAGGTAGGTAGGTAGGTAAAAGAGGTTGTTCCTTTCAGGTTTCTCCCATTTGTGCTGGCTGATTGTTGTCTGTTGTTGTTGTTGCTGCTGTTGGTGTTGGCCAGGAATCTTCATCTTCACCTCTGTTTTCTCTATGTTCACCTGAAGTCCTATCTTCTTTGTATGCTTCTTCTGCCATCTTGTTGCATTTCACTTGGATATCTTCCAGTTTGTGAGAAATCAGACATATATCATCGACGAAGTCCAGATCCTCCAAGTTTTTTTGTGTGAGTCCATTTTATGCCTGTTTCCTCATTGCCCGTTGTCTGTCGCACTATCCAATCCACTGCAATCAAGAAAATCATTGGAGATAGTCGACAGCCTTGATTCTTGCCGATAAAGGAGTAATTTTCAAGTATTGGTTTGCAGGGAGTTTCTTTTGATTGGTTGGAGGATTTCACATTATGAGCTGACATTGGCTAGAGAGCCAGTGGAAAACCTGGGAGTAGCGGATAGCTGTTTCGTCCTAGTTTAGGACTGCGATCTGATAAAGAATCCCAAACTGGGACAAAACAGCTGTCTGGTATTCCGAGTTTCTCCAATGGTTCTCTAACCGAGAGTAGTAATTAAAAAATTTATGAAGTACAGCCATGGAGCGATTCAAAATACATTTATTTGGCTTTATTTTTATTTGTTTCACACGATGAAAGATAGAATCAGGTGAGAAATTAAAAAGATTTCCTATTAAACTTTTTGAGTATATAAAATCAATAATTTAAAGAAGAAATACAAATATGACACACAGTAAGACACTAGAAAGCAAGATAGATTTGGACAATTAACATGTCAACACGTGATTTTAGAATATAGAAATACTCATAATCAAAGTAAAAAGAAAAGACATAAGGCCAACCATATTGTTTTAAAATAAGATCTCCTGTGAACTGATCAATATTTTCCCTGAGTGAAAAATTTACACCTATTTATTGAACGAAAGCTTTTAACCAATATGATTATTGGAGAAATAGTGACATATGCGAATAAAGACTGAATCAGTTCAGCAGTGAAAATAATAGCGTGACAACGGCAGGACAAAAGAGTATCTGGCAACGGAATTATTTATTATTTAATTGGTGGATGGTGACTAGCAGTGGAATCTAGGATGCGCACTTCATCCTATTTGGGACTCATCAACTGGATGTACCTGCATTTCTCAGTGAGTGATGATGTTCCCACCGAGGCTCGAACCCAGTGACCATAGTTTCAAACGCCAAAGCGTTATCCACTAGACCACTTGGGCCACGAAAGCCACCTCTTGTGGAACGGGTCATATTAATTATTGAATTGAATTTTTGATTTTCCCGACGATTGATTGGACCGAAGTGCTCGGTGTCAGCTTGACATGTCGGCTTCTTGTGCAGATGCTTCGACGATATCTGGGTATTTAATTAGTATTTAACTGATGGATGGTGATTAGCAAGTGGTCTAGTGGATAACGCTTTGGCGTTTGAAACTATGGGCACTGGGTTCGAGCCTTGATGGGAACATCATCACTCACTGGGAAATGCAGATACTGACGAGTCCCAAATAGGACGAAATGCGCATCCTGGATTCCACTGCTAGTCACCATCCACCAACTAAATACTAATTAAATGCCCAAACATCGTCGAAGCATCTGCACAAGAAGTCAACATGTCAACCTGAGACCGAGCACTTCGGTCCAATCAATAGACGGGAAAATCAGGAATTATTTATTGCCAACTTGATGTACAGATATAGGCAAAATACATCTACTATATATTAGAATCACAATTTGGACATGCCTTTGGTACTGTGCTGCTTTTATCTTCCGTATTATGCTTCATTATCTTTTCATGTTTTCCATGTTGTTTCACAAGCAATTTTCATTTCTTGTAGATCATATAAATATTTACATGTGTGCCTACATACTACTTATAAATCTTGTCAGTAGCAAACACCACAATAGTCCATTTTATTAGCATTTATAGAATGCCAGAAAATAAACTAGGACATGGACGTGTAGCAATAAAACCTATTCATAACATCATACAACGGTTTACACTTCACTTTGCAGAGTACAGTTATGCAGTGTGCTACTGATAAGATTTGTCAGTAGTGTATAAGGAGACGCTTATCAGTATAAAAATATCAAACAGCGGAGTGACAGACTTGACATCAAAGAGAGCAAATGAACCAGAGTTGCGGTAGAACATGAGACAAAGAAATAAGACAAACAAACACAGCACAAAGGGCAGAATTAACACGATACGGAAGATCTGTGAGAATGAAGGCTTGCAGAAAAGGTGTACATAATTTCTCTATGTAGATATACCGAATTCCAAATGATCATTTCATTACCAAGTCTCTTATCTTCTACCGTTACAGAGTACCGCTATTTTCATTGAACTTCTGTTCATTTACGGGTGAAACTTTAAAGTACTTACGGACATAATGGAGTGGGGAATAATTCATACTGAAGAAGATCTAAAGTCTTGTAGGATTTCATCAAAATCAGAAAATATTCTGTGGATAATACAAGAGGTGAAAAAAATGTCAAAAACGAAATTAAACATGGCAAAAATCTACATGACAAGTATTTTGCTTGATATTTTGATGAGAACAGCCGTACCTTAATATTATTCGTACAGTTGGTATGGTACTTTTAAAAAGAGGTCATACTCATTAAAGAATAGAATTTAACAAATCATACAGTTATTCTGAGATGACGGTTATGGCTTGGCATTGTTGCAAAGAATAATTTCATGTTGATTCGTTTACCCAGTGAAACTCACAGTGAGTGAGTAATACATTATTATTTCCTGGATGACGAATGTAGCACAATTTATTGCCTACAATCACATCAAAGAATTTACACAGCATTCAGATTCCATTTTTACGCTTATCTAGCGTCTTGTTGCTTCGTCTTCAATAATAAGAGAATTGTTCAATCAGTGAGACGACTTAAACTAATTAAGATAATTGGCACTGTGTATAGATTCTATGTATGCAGCTTATACACAAAACTGACAATGACTGCACTGAAGAAAAGACTAGATAAAGACTATACACTAGTCGAAGTAAAGATAAACAATTTACAAACACTCTTCACATAAGAGCAGCCATGTACACTTACTAAATTTCACTATGGAAGTAGAATAATGCATTTCGGGAACTGATCATTTTAGACCGTTACATGTGAAGTATAGTACAGGATATAATTTGGTGAATGGTGACTAGTAGTGGAATTCAGAATGAGAATTTCGTCCTATACGGGATTCGTCACTGGATGTACCTGCGAATTCCTCAGCAGGTGTATGTCATTATAAGTCATTATAACTTTGAAAAGAGGAATAACCTAAAACCAACACACTCATCATGACTTCTTAGTTCACACTCGCTATGAAAAGAGTTTTAATACAAAGTCTTCCAAACACAATACGTAGACTAACACCATATCCAGACGACAAGCCGTGAACAACGAACACTTCACTTTGATGCTATTTGAAAGTCAATGTCCAAAAAAAAATTCACAAAGGACGGTATAGAGAAAAGAATACGAATCGAAAATATTAGAAGATAAATTGTTATGAAGGGACTGTAGAAGTGCCATGCTATAAATGCACATCACTGACAATCCAAGCTTATGCTAAATAGATGCGTTCCCAGACTTTATTCAAACCAATGAGTCCGACTAGAGACAGACTAAATCGACTAGAAGATCACGTAAAGGAATAGGACATAGATGATCTACTGTAGTGAATGTCTTGAACTGACTTCCGGATGAACTAAGAAGGTGAAATATTAAGATGATTCAAAATAAGACTGAATGGAGTTGGAGGGAAAAGTGATGGTCAACCTATGGGATCATGAGAATGTTGTTCATCAAATGACGCTCAGGTGTAGGATTGCGAAAAAGTATTGACTGGAAAAACAGTAACAGAGTAAATACGTGCTGCTCTCTTGATCTCGAGATTTTGATGGCGTCGTCGGTTGACACTGTTGGGATAAAACATCTACCCCGCGCTTCTTAACTTTTAGTAAATCTCTAACCGATAGCAGTTCATGACGAAACCTACTTCGAAATAAGGAGTTAGCATTTTGCCTTTATTTCCTCGCAGAAAGTGAAGGGTTGTAGCACAGATAAGTTTAACGTATCTAAGCTGGCCAAGAGAGAAAACCAATTTTTGATACTGGGAATGAGATTACTTTCACGGATTCTCAAAGACACAGGCGTGAAGAAGACAAATCTAAGTGAAATTTGAAAGGTCCACTGTGATACGATGTATAATACGAAGGCCTTGATACTACTTATTGTGTAGCATGTCAACGATCGTTGGTATTTCAAGATACAGTTTCGACTTCAGACTAGTAACCAGCTCCAATAAACTTGTGGATTTATAAGGAATTCTAGGTCTTACTCATCACTGCTCCAGAAGCCCTATGTTCCACTCCGAATCCAAGGGAACAATAATAATAATAATACCCATCAGTTGCTTTACACTTTAATGAAGTATTTCGAGTAACACATGACATAAATTCACTACTGCTAACTTGTTTAGCTGAAAAAGGTCCCAGAAACCTTTTACGACAGTTAATTTATTCTTTTAAACTCCATAGACACGCTTGTTGTTTTTCATCTTCCGCGGTAATAAAATCAAAATACTGGTCTGTAACTGGAGCATATAAAGACGTCGGTAGCACAGTGGTTAGGACTCTCGCCGACCATGCACATGGTCCGAGGTTCCATCCCCGCCGACCCACACCTGATATCTATGGTCGGTCTGCAAAATTTCGGTTACCGATATCCATGCTGAAAATTCTATACTTACACCAAAAATACAGTGTGGAATCAAGCTGTAATAAAAAAATTCTATTGCTGATTTCTACTTGAGTTTATCCCTTTTTAGAAGATATTTTTTATATTACGTTGAAATTACTCGATTCTACAAGCCGATGTCAGTGAGAATAGCAGTAGCAAGAAAGGTATGTTAGAAAACTGCTTTGTCCTTATTTTTAAATTCTAGTTGGTGCACAGCCTCAACTATAACAACGCAAATCGTCAGGCAAAGGAGGTTACTATTCAGTTACTGCACTGACATTTGATGACCTATAGTTTCCAACTTCTATCCATCTATAATAAAATTTCATTTTAATGCAGCGTCGTCGGTATTCTCCGATACACACCCGACTTTACAGACCTAACCAATCACCCGAAGACCAATAAGGACATACTGCAGAGAAAGAAATCTGTCCAATATTTCTAAATTTTAAATTTTTATTACGAACTTCATTTAGTGAAACCGATGGAAACTAGAGAGTACTAGACAGCTGTTCCCTTATAGTTTGGGACTCTTCAAGAGTATACAACCATGATCCCATTACGGATCGAACCCAAAACCTACAGGTTACATGGTTGACCATTCAGCCATTGGGATGAAATCCGATGGCTCATCAATTCTAACTCCCGTCAATTCATTTGATCTGTAAAATAATTGTTTTTGAAACCTAATTAATCAGAAACTAAACATCTGGGTATTTACTTATCCATATTGTGTACATTTAAGTAAACAGTGCGACAAAATGAATGCTTTGAACAACAAGATTTGGTGTTATATCTCTAAGGGCCACTCTGATAAACAAATTATAGAGCTCTTATGTAGAATACATGAAAATGCAGTTTAGGTATGTTTAATCAACTTACTGATCTCGAAGATAATAATGTCGACACATTCTGATGGTGCGGCTAAATAAAGATAAATTTGTCCCAACTACAGTCTTCAGTGCATTATCATCAGCACCTCGAGATAACAAGGCGTGTTCTATCGCAGTTAAGCTAGCAGAAACAGGAACTGAGTCGTCTACAGAACTGGAAGCACGATTTCCACTTGAAAGAGAATGTCCCCATTCAGTAAACATTGATAGGCGATCTTGGCCAGCGTAAGTATGCTGTAAACGCTGGCTGTAAACATCTGTTCTATCAACACTATTTAGATGACTTCTACCAGAAGCAAGAAGAGAAGACCAAGCAGAAGCAACTTGAGCAGCAAAGCCGGAAACACTGGCAACAGCAACAGAACATCCAGAGGAAGAACTCGAGTCGTGCAATGATGATGAAAACTCTGAAGCTGGTAATCCATCTGCGCCAGCTGCACGATAATATAACGGAACTTGTACAGGACCACACGTAGGTTGGGGCAAACTGGCAAGATTTGGCCAGGCCGTACGATGTTGAGCTGCTAACATACGATGCAGTTGTATATGTAAAGAATTTGAGCAACTATCAATGGAAGTCGAGTTATCTGATGGCCTTTTATCTACTAGTTCAGCCTTCACACAATCTGAATCGTCTTCATTTAAACTTGATTTCATGTTAAGAGATATAGATATCTGTACTCCGGGGAATAATGTGGCTACAATCTCTTCCTAACATGAAATAATCATGAAACAATAAAAGACAATTGAAAGTAATTCACGTTTAAAAAAAGCATAAACAAAAATATACAGTTACAAATGTATGCACTGAAGAAGTCTTTAGAACAGGTATGTACATACGCCTGCATAATACTTAGTAAGTGTTGTTTAAATGTACACTTAGATTCACGGATTTTTAGTTACACGAAGACTTCTTTAATAAGTCTAATTTATAAATACATGTCAATATATTTCCTGTGGGGAAGTACTGAGACGCAGTACCGATGAAGTGAATTGATATACCTGTCTGAAATAAAACAGTTTCTAGGATCGTTAGTCAGAGACGGTTGTCAAAAGTTCCAGAACCTTGTAAGTCAACATAATCAGAGTGACGTTGAAGATATATTGTTGTTGTATGCTTATTTACTTTTTACAGCCTATATAATTCATATTAAATGGTACTGATAATGAAAATAAAAATAAAAGAGTTATGAAACTAACTTGAGTTACACAGGCAATAGAATCGACGAGATAGTTGCGTCCTCTTGAGTTACATGCTTCATAAGCAAGTTGAAATAGAATCTCTCGACATTCTAACAATCTTTGCGCTTTGAACAATTTCTGCCTCTGGGTGAGTGGTTGTAGATTTTCAACCTGTTGTTGTTCACTACATACAGCTTTCAGCAGTGATGTAGACTGAGAATCGACATCTGATTTGACGAATCTAACACTTAAACCACCAGACCCACGTGACACATTTAAAAGGGCCTCCATGGACTGCGAGAAAATTACCTATAAGTTAATATTAAAAGTAGGACAGAATGAGGTAAACAAGGTGGAAACAACACTAATTAATTCAAGTTTACGGAAACTACTGTAACAAACTGTTTGTACACCTTGACAGATAAGACCCGCATTCTTCGCAAACTGATCATTCCACTTCTTCAATTCTAAAGATAATTTTATTATTTCTTTTTTATTATTCCCCTTGAATTTCCAGTGGAACATAGGGCTTTAGCCACACATATCCACTTTGTTCTATTCTCTGCTGTCCTCTTCAGCTGGGTCCACGATTGCCTATATAATCTCTCGTCTCCCCAAGTCACTCCCGCACTGATCACCCAATCGTCGCTTCCCAACTGAATTCTATTCGAGTGATGGCCTGGTGGCCTCCTCCTCAAAGTATGCCTGATCCATCTCCATCTTCTCAGACATATCTGTTGAGCGATCGACTCTTGGTTGGTCAGCTGCTAGAGTTTCTTGTTGCTAATTCTTTTGGCAATTTAATCTTATTCCAATTCTACAGAATGTCCACCGAAAACATGTATCTTGACGATAAGCGATTAATTTCCCGCATGGTCAAGAAATAATGACCTATTAACTTGATTACTTATGAGTATGGAAATGTTTTTCGTCAGTTAGGGCTACACTGTATACTAAACGCCACCTTATCTAAACACATGTGCATATATGTGTTAGGATCCACTTAAGCCATAAACTTCACACCTACTTAGGTCTGACTAACCAGACAGTATCATCAACGCTTATGGCATATGAGGTTCATGACCAAATTGTTAACTGACAGGTAACTGCAATATGTAATTGATATATATCCACATATATATATTTATGTGTGTGTGTATGTTGGTCTCTCTTTCTGTTTGCTCTCTTAGTCTGTGACCATTTCACTTGTATGAACTTGTCTCCTTTAACAATGTATATTCCCCTTATATTATATATAATATGAGTGTTTGTTGACAGTCCGTTGTTTGGTGACATATATCCATATTATATGTGTGGTTGTTGACATGTGTGCTATATTTCGCTATGTATATATGGATCGATACTTCATTATAATTAGCCATTCATGTTAAGACTGTCTAATGATTGTTCACACCCTTGTCATATTTATATTTTGTTCTCACAATCTTGTGACTTACACTTACTTACTTACTTTGGTGTGATACCACTAATTGCATTCTCCTTGTGTTTGGAAAATAAAAGTATCATCGCAAACCTAGTGGTCTTCTGATTTCCGCCTTCTTGCGTCAGGACTATTAAATTCTCGACCAGTCCATAACAATAATTTAGCGACGAGTACATAACAGTAATATATAACAGTTATAATAGATATTATTCCAAATTGTCATAGACAATTGAAGGACACGCAAATGAATTTAGTTTGATAAGGATTAGGAAGAAAGACTAACTCAGATACTAGTGTGACATATACAAACAGCAGTTGTTTTTTTTATACAAGAAACAATTCAGGGTAAGGATTAAAAAAGAGGCAGTTCGTTCTCGCGGAGATTACTGAAAAGAGCAGCTAATTAATATCATAAGCAGAGTTTATTTAAGTCGAAATGAAAAACACTTTACTGCAGCTTATTCACCAACTTAGTAGTCTTAAGCTTAACAAGTCACTTAAAACTACCACAAAGAAAAATGTTACGTATATTGATGTTATGTACTGGTCGAGATTTTAATAGTCCTGACGCAAGAAGACGGAAATCAGAAGACCACTAGGTTTGCGATGATACTTCTATTCTCCATAACACCAGGAGAATCAATAAGTCACACAAGAGTGTGAGAGCAAAAATATATATGTCCGAAAAAGTGTGTGAGCGAATATTCAAAATGAACAAATCAATAGACAGTCTTAACATGATTGGCTAATTATAATGGAATATGGATCCATGTATACATATTAAAATATAACAGACTGTCAAACAAACACACATATTATATGGATATATATATATATATATATATATCAATTGATAAGAAAAATAATCATAAGACCTAGAAATATATGGCAGTTAGTGCCTTACCGTTACTCCGGATAGTGGATCCACATTTTTTTGATCCTTTGAATCTACATTCAGTTTCTGGTCAGCAAATATGTCGGACTCTCGGATTTCAAAATTTCCACATTCCTTAAAGTGAGAACCAACTGACCGTAAACTGACATCACCTAAAATTGAATTTTGGTAAAGTTTTAATCTCCACTCTTGACGTAGATGCATTAATGCCATATGAAAGGAGTTGTGAGGCAAGTCGGAATGTTGCAGCATAGATGGATTAAAACGTCGTATTCTAGCATCAGCCAATTCGCTATGCCTTCGACGAAGACGTTCAGCCCCCTTTATCAATATATCAGCAGCTGCAGCGATTGACTATTCAATTAAAAGTTAATCAAGACGGAATTCATATTAAACTAACTCTTTTTTTTCCAGATAAAATCAAAGGAAGATTGGTTTCAAGTGGATCATCAGCAACAGGATTAAGCGCCAAATATTTTCCCTCTTTGATAATGCCAAGAACATCTACCAGTGCATTGATTTCGATCATCGTCGTACTAAACACTAAGAATAATACTCTGAAAACCATACCGCATTGTTTCTTTAACAGTTTCCCATATTTTTGGAGATATGACGTTCCTAGACGGTAATTCCAACTCTTCAGGGCTAGAATCCTCAGAAAAGTCTAGTTGATTGACGATTCTTTGGAAGTTTGCGACTGGCGTTAAAGGTCTGTTTATTTCGTTTTCTAGATACAAAAACGTACTTTTCGAGTATTTCCTGCCCATCCAAGAGTAATTCACGAATTTCATACTCGGCAAGGGCTTCTATAGGAATTAAATGTTGTCCAGAAGGAACTGGCATGACCTAATAAGATTTATACAAAACAAAAATATATAGTGACACGAACAAATTGCATTAGGTTTCTAAATTCCTTGATGCTTACTTCAGTCAAATAACTCAGTATAATACAAATGGAGAGGATATTTACAACCAAACAAGAACAATTTAATAAAGTGTACTTTGAACACTTCCCTTAAAATTTGCATGGGTATATGCAGATTAGTGGCTGATAAAATCTCGGCACCAATTCTGGGACGTACATGTGACTACTTATTAATAGCTATAAATATTCTGCTGAGGCACAGTGTCTTATGATATGATTATGTAACATTATCCTCAAAAATGTATTTAAGATTTTGTGGAGTCTTTACGAACCATATATCGTCAGCAATGACTGTCTACTACTGATTTAATGAGGTTATGCTCATCGTCAGATAATGAGCAGGAAATATTTAAGTCATGGGGAGATGTTTCACTTATCTGACCTGTTCAAATTGGACATGTTTATTTTGCTCATCTTCGGTTGCATTTTAACTTGAAGTAATGTGTGGGTTTGTCTTCTCTCCCTTACCGATAGTCCCTTTTCCCCACTTGTTCAATAGCTTTCACTAGTAATGTTTCTAATGAAGGGAATTTAAGTTTTAGAAAGGTTTCAGGACCATTAGGTTTACAATGCTGATCAGCACACCTCACTGTAGAAGAATCACTTACAGAGCTAAAAACAGTTTCATCAGTGCGAACCCAATAGTTTAACTATGACACCGGTTAAGTAATAACACCCCCAAATACGCTTTATCACTCATCGATAGATCCATTTAGTCTCTCTCTCTAGAAAGATAACCTAATATTAGGTTTTGCTGCTTATACAGAAAACTAACACCGTTTTTGCTGAGCATGCTTCACAATAACTCCGGTGACTGATGCGATGCATACTCTCGGTGAAAAACAATAATGATTTACAGACACTGAAAGACTGCTCATGACATTACCTCTAAATGCTTTTATATACGGATACGAAAAGTATATTGTAAATGGCTAAAAAAGATGTTCTACAAATAGTTTTCACTTATCAACAGAAATGAACGAAAGGAGGGAATCTCATATCTATATGGAATTCGCAAAGACTAAGAAAATACAGTCTGTCAAAAATCAAATGTGAATTTAAATACTAAGCTGGAACTTCGTTCACATTTAAAAACTCCAAAATAGTAACTATTAGAAATTAATAAGGAAACTTAAATGTGGTGAATCATATCAACTACAAAAGTAGTCTGCTATATGCAGTTAGTGGGTTACCCAACTAACTAATTAACGTAGGTCATGACACAGGACTGCATCAGATTAAATTGTTACAGTCAGAAGAAGCCCACAAAATGAGGAAACACAAACAAATTGATAAAATAGAAAAATATGGATGCGACGGTGAAAATCATTGGAAGGTTAGTGAGGTAACAAGCAGTGGAACTATGATACACATTTTGAGACATGTTATAAATATTATCTATTTAATGACTTTTAATATCCAGACCGCTTCAGTCAGGTAATCCACAACTTCCTACGTGGCATGGGACGACAGTTGGTGTTTTAATGGATTGGTTCCACCAGCATAGATTTTCCGATCTATTTACAATTCACCTAAAATTGCCCGTTGTGGAAGGCAGTGGTTCGGCATGCATACCATACGCCCTAGTTAATTAAGTCGATGAGGCTTTATAAACTGGTCGGTTGATAGACACTCTGGATTTCATAATATGCCTGATCTTATTCTCGCTTATTGCATTGCTTCAAATAACACGAATATGTAAATGTATCATCAAAACCAAATGAACTGTAGTCAAGATTTGACAGAACAGTTCTAAAATATTTGGGCGCCGAGTGAGACGTAGACATTTGAAAAAAAATATATTTGTCATGCATACTTAGTGGCTCTCAGGGTACTTAGAAGTTTCTGCATTTTATCATCACCTGAGTGGACAACTCTAAATGAATTAAAACTTTATTTGATTGTCAGCCGATTGCCGACAGATTAAAATCAAATTCAGTTGCATTCATAAAAAGAAACGAATGTTAACACTAGACATCTGAGACATGCACTATGGGTTACCAGCTATTTAAAAGGACATTAACTGCTGTCTTAGTCCAGGTTAGCCAGACATACTTTCTTCTGCATTTGCGAAAATACCTTTGGATCGAGAAAATCTACTTTCACATTTACGTGAAGACTGGTGCACAACTGTAATACAGCTAAAGGTCAGTGGAATTGCCTCTTAAATCATTTTAAGTAGCTCTCGAGGTTATCAATACATCTCTCCCGGTGACCCTTCCACTTGCTGCAATAATTTGGCAACCCATTCCACATAACGAACCTAAATAGTTAATGAGTTTTAACTGAAATTTACCCGCCTTCTGTTTCTGTCATCCTCATAACCCATAGTTTTTAGTGTCATTTAATCCGTGTATGCCTTATCATAATATTCGTCAAGCTTGCAAGCCCTCTGGGACTACCATTACCGGGCTGCTCAGTTTATGTGCTTAGAGAAATTTACTGGCTCTTGTTAACTATTGACTTCATGTCTTTGAATAGAAAATTCAACGGATTTCCATTGTAATACTAAAATTAACAGCTTCGCAAAGTAAAACTACCATAGCCAAAACTACAGTGATCGTGAACGACCAATCAGAATTCAGATTCAATAAAGTCGCATAAAAGTTGAAAAATGCACTACAAGATATTGCAAACATGATATTACACTACATAGTTTTCGCTTATTTGTTTTAAGAATTTCTTACAGTCACTACACGGAAGATCTATAGAGAAATCATACCATGTGCGAAAGATGAATTCATTCAGGTGACTGTACTTTGATATCTATTGATAATTCTGATGCTGTTCCTTGGCATACTCCCAACTCTGACCCCAATGTAAAAAGCCATAACCCTACTTAGCGGTACAGATTTACAGAAAAACACCTAGAGAATAAGTGGAATACTATATCTGCCTTCTCCAAGGCCAGAGGGGCAGGCATGATTTTATTTGAGATGACTTTCCATAGCATCCCAGGTATCTGATTGGTTATGGAAGGTCAAGTCTTAAAAACCCTTGGCTTCGACAATGATACTTAAACATCACCAACTGATTTTTATAATAATTCAGGATTAACACAGATAGAAATCATAATATTAGGTATCAATAAGTGTCTTTCGTACCAAACACATTTCGCACGTATCTTTTTAGACATATGACAAGTGTCTGTTAATCATTCCTAACTATAGCGACTAAAGAATCAAAAACCAGCAATATATATGTATATACACATGGACAAGGTGAGACACCTCAAAAAAAGTATTACTTCCAATAAGGAATACGAATAATGAAATAAAATGCGCAAACAAGAAAATGCCTTTACACCATCGCTACAATCTTAAGTGGAAGAGTATGGATGATATAACGCAGAGATCAAGAGCATATTATAGTCGGAGAACTACCATTTTCTAGCCATAAATCCATACAATATTAGGTTTAAAAATCCAAACACGCATTTCGAATATTTAGATACACACTTTATTCAGTTTTTCCAGTGAAAATTAAATTTTGTGAAACATTCTGCCTCTAAATAAATTTGAAGTGTTAAAAACAAAAGCATGGGATGCCATAAAAATGGAAGACTAGGAGGGGCACACTTACTGTAACTCAAAGGTTGAATCTTGCGCACTTTTTCAGACGAGAAAGCATCAATATCGAATGCTGATCCTTTTTTGTGCATAACTTATAAAAAAGCTACAGAAGAAGCGACAAACATAAAACTGAAGGTTAAAAAAACTCAATTTTCCTTTAAAACTTTTAAATTCTTATGCATGGAGTTTTTGGGGGAACAAATCCATAACTCACCCTTGAGATTAACATCATCCTGTACCTAATCTAAGCCCAAGGTTGATGCAATCATTTGCAGTACCCTGATGTAAGAAAATCCCATAACCCCCGCCTCGAAAATATGGAAAATATCATAAACACGATGGATTTTTAGTGACTTGAGTAGTCTCGTCAGAGTACACATGAATGATTTTGGGGGTGGCTGATATTCTGCAACTTTACTAAAATTAGTAATGGAGGCAAAGAAAAGTGGTGACGAACAGTGATCTTGAAGTATCCAATTGCGTGTCCGAACCATTTCCATTTTCTCCCATATATACCAAAAGTACGGTGTGGGGGTCAAGCTGTAATCAAAAATTAAAATTAAATTAATTGTTTACCTAGCTTCTTGTCGCTAATACTTTTTGGCCTACAATCTGATTCTCACTAAGGAAAGAGCGGAAGTAGGGAATAGTATAAGCATATAACAAAGTGCAAACGCTTGCCGTGGTGTGCACACCAAGATTCTCACCCATATATGTGAAATGACTTAGAATTGGCATTAACATTGTGTTCTGTATGTTGTGTTCAAAGGTTTTCGGAATAATACGTGGTTTTGACATCCTCGTCGAAGCCGGCTGTAGGTGAAACGATGCTGCCCAGATAATTTAGAGGAGTGACTTCTTTTGAATTTCTCCCGGTGACTGGTGCTTGTTGTTGTCAGTTAATTAATTTCATCACTATCTTCCTAATGTTCACTCAAAGTCCTGACTTTGCTGCTTTCTCAGGCGGCTTGTTGTTTAACACAAATATGTCAGCGACTTTGTGTTGATTGAGACATAAATCGTCTGCGAAATTCAGAGCTTCAAAAGTCTTAATGTCGGTCCAACGTATTCCCGTCTTCTCACACGTCACACACAGTATGACGCATAATCCAATCCGCCACAATTAAAAATATCAGCGATGATACTAGGCAGCCAACGTTGTCTTACTCAACTATGAAATTTGACCGCCTCTCAGAGTTTTCAAAAATGGCCCCCATGAAAAGAGACCTACTCATAAAGCCAGCCATTGAATCATATTGAAAGAGACTTAGGGCACTGCATGCCATGCTGCTGCAGAAGATTCCCAATTACTTCGGCATCAACATTATGGAAGAAAATCCCTCGGTAGAGCAGCGCTTTATAGTCGGTTCGTGAAGAATTTCAATAAGATAAACATAAACATATCATAGCTTCCACTACCCAATACTGATATATTATTTATATATGTTGTTTATTCTCCATTGTACTTCCTGGTATTTTTTCTCATTGTTTTTGTCGTTGTTGTTTTATATATTTATTTTTTAAGTACTCCTTTTAAATGTTTGATAAAATTAGATGCAATATTGTAGATATGTGCTGAAAATTCCACACTGTACCACTTATTGTTTCTGGGATAAAGCAAATTATTATTATTATTATTAGAGATAGCATTTGTCAATGGAGTTGAAGTTTGAACGATCAATTCTTGGTTGTTTGCTCAAAATCAACTTCCCCAATTTTCGCGGAAGCATCAATACGACAGTCATCGTCTCATCGGTCGCTGTTCAGAAAGAAGATTGAAACATCGTCAGAAGTAATACAGAGATTTATTATTGTAATATTTGTTTTCAGACCTTAGTTTGCTTAGTTCGCTTATTCCTTCTATATGTTGGTGTAACAATAAACAAATATCAAACGGCAGATCGGTGTTTTGGTTTTTGCGTCCGTTATAACTAAGCGTTTCTGAGAAATCTTCTAAGAACAGCGTGGGCCCGAGCGTAGCGAGAGCTGGGCATTAACGGTTTATGAGACTTTGCTGACAGTTTCTGACGATTGAAACAGATCTGGCGGATTGAAACAGTTGGTGAAAGTTTGGATAGTCGCCGTTCATTTTTCCTGGTGCCGGTCAAGTCCTCTTTGAACAAGCAATATCTGGAACTTTTTTGGAATTGGGTCAAGTTCAACAATGCCTGGGTCAAAGAAGGGACAGAGTGTCTTGGATGCAAACAGGAAAGTAAGTCATGGTGACTTGTCTGTTAATTGTAACGATGTGTCTGATGTTAAGCATGACATGGTTGATGTTACTGTTTCGCCGTCCAGGGATAATAGGAACATCAAACTCCCTAAATTAGAACCACGATGTTTTGATGGAAACCCGGCTGATTATTTACAATTTGTAAAGGAGTTTGAGATCATGTTGAGTGGTTTTTTATTAAATGATGAATTGAAATTGATGTATTTGATGAGATATTGCACTGGAGATGCTGCAAGAGCTATACAGTGTTGTAAGTTTATGAAGCCAAAGGAGGGCTACGATGAGGCTATGAGCATATTACGCCAAAGGTTTGGAAGACCCTCGATGATTGCAGGGAAATTATTCGAGGCTGTTAAGGGTAATGGTGGTCAATTACAGGATGACTCCCAGGCACTCACTGAGTTTTTAGATAATTTGCTAATTTACAAGAATGGAATGATTTCGATGAATCGAATGAGTGACCTCAACTCGAGTTTTATCCTAGAAGTAATAGCAAGACGTCTACCTACTCGACTGCAAAGGAAGTGGGTGAAGATAAGCTCCCGTATGGAGGATGAGGGTATCGAGCCAAAGTTTGATGATATCCTGAAACTGGTAAATACTAGTGTCAATCAATCTATGAGCAAGTTCGCCAGTCTGTTAGATCTCACCCCTAGAATAGAGCAGTCTGAGGGTAAAACGCACTCATTGATGACGAATAAGCCTCAGAGAGGTGGATATCGAGAAGACTCCATGATGTCTAGTAATGCATATAGACCTAGTGAGTGTAACAGGTTTCGTAGTACATCCTCAACAGATAAGTTACAAGATGCAAGACAAACACGGCTTTGTTCTACACGTGTGCAAGAGGTGCATACAGAAGTGAACTGTGAACCAGTGAGCAAGTTCAGTGATAAGCTAAATGTAAACTCCAGGCCTTACTCCGAATTGTGTGACGATAACGTTGTTGTGAAGAAGTCTGTAGTTGCAACTGGTAAGCCGTTGCTAAATAGAGTGTCACAGAATAGAGTTACTGCTTCAGAGTCCAGTTCTGACTGCAAAGGTTTACAAAGTATAACTAGTCAGAGTGAAGATGTAAAACATTTAATAATTTTTGAGGAGGAACCAAAATTGTCTACTTCTGTTATTAAAGAGTTTGAAAATGATGAAGTTGACGGTAAACTGGATATTTGTGATAATGATCATGATAGTGCAGATTTGTCTTTGGTTGATCATGATGAAATGGAGGGAATGCCTACTACTGCTAAGTTAAATAAAGGTTCTGTACAACTTGAACGTGAAGTAGAAATAAATGCAGATTCAGTTGCAGAAGGCATGCATACTTGTAAGACCGTCAGTGGGAGTGATCAGCATGTAGCCCACCTATCATCAGATGCTAGTGTTAAACCTGAGCTGATAGTAAAAGACAGCAGTGGTGGTGGTCTTGCAGGTAGACAAATTTCTGAAAAGCGAGCAACAACAGCTTTTGATCCACTGCTAATTTCATCAACTGATATCAATCAGTCGTCGTTGGTGCTGTCATCCACAATGAAACAGACACCCATGAACTCAAGTATCTTGTGCAATGACTATGGTAGTATCAGTTCGTTTGAAAGGACGAATATCAATGGTCAGTTTAGTGTGGATAAGCCAAGTGTAAAGGAGAGAGTTATTGTTAAACTGACTTGCACGAATAAAGGCATTTCTAGTTTCAAGTTACTATTTGAATGTTATTATCTTTGGTGTAAATTACTCTGTTTTTACACTTGGTTGATGAGATATGTCGTGTGTTTGTTGGTCATCTATATTCTACGATACAATGACATGGGCGTGTTGCCGTTCAGATTTGAGGATATAGCTCATAGAAGGAAGTTAGCAAATGAACTCTGCGACGATTTTCCAACTTAGAGCGTCAACCTGAGAAGGGTTGTAGGCGTACTGCTGTAAGTCCTACAATTCTTCAAAGGGTAGCGCATCAATGAGCAGTCCAATGTGCTTGGTGTGTGATTTTGTACATATGTTCATGTTGTATATACTGAATTGATATCATCTGTCATCTAGCTGTTGGTAATTCTGTTTGTGTCCGGACGACTTCCACTTGGATCATCAACCTGAGAGGGAATATAGGCGTACTGCTGTAAGTCCTACAGTTCTTCAAGGGTAGTTCGTCGAGGCAGAATCCACAACATTTGATGTAGTGATTGTACATATGTTTGTGTTAAATAATTGTGTGAGTTCCAATTGATGTAATTGTTGGTTAATCTTGTTTGTGTCCGGACATTCCACAACTTACAATCGTCAACATGAGAAGGGTTGTAGGCGTACTGCTGTAAGTCCTACAATTCTTCAAAGGGTAGCGCATCAATGAGCAGTCCAATGTGCTCGGTGTGTGATTTTGTACATATGTTCATGTTGTATATACTGAATTGATATCATCTGTCATCTAGCTGTTGGTAATTCTGTTTGTGTCCGGACGACTTCCACTTGGATCATCAACCTGAGAGGGAATATAGGCGTACTGCTGTAAGTCCTACAGTTCTTCAAGGGTAGTTCGTCGAGGCAGAATCCACAACATTTGATGTAGTGATTGTACATATGTTTGTGTTAAATAATTGTGTGAGTTCCAATTGATGTAATTGTTGGTTAATCTTGTTTGTGTCCGGACATTCCACAACTTACAATCGTCAACATGAGAAGGGTTGTAGGCGTACTGCTGTAAGTCCTGCAATTCTTCAAGGGTATTCCATCAAGACATGAAATGCGAGTTTGTGTGTACTGTTTGTATATACGTTTGGTGTGTCATATCAATTGGTGTTATTTGAATTCATTGTGTTTACTCGTTGTTTTCGTACCTTGTTGTTATTGCATAATTTTGTTGAAATTTTCGTCGTGATTACTTCTGAAGTTGTGGCCACTCTTCTACATCCGTGAATGAATTGATTGATGTTAAGGACAGCAGATGGGTCGTATACACCGGGGAGGCTAGGCTATTGCTGAGAATGAAATGCACACGGAGATAATTGCTAGCTGCGGTCCGACAAGCCGGGGAGAAAGAGTGTAAACGACTGAGGCTCGCATGCGTCACCGCTACTAGAACTGAGGCAGAATGAGTGACAAGCGATTTCAGTGATAATTGATAGTGAATAGAAAAGAGGATGCTTGAAGAGTATCATGAGGTGCTGCTATGGTCACGTTGCATTCTGCAAGAGTCATTCTAGTAAGTGGCGATTGTGTTGCAAGATGTCAAGAGGAGGTCTCTGTCTGGAGGCGCAGGTCGTCAGCGATGTGTGAGATTGTGCTGTGGGTATGCTTGTGGTGTGTTGGCTTTTCTGTTTGTTTTCCATTTCAGCTCTGTCCGTGTGACCCAGGTTCTCGCAATGGCATCCAAGTCAACGTGCATTGGTCGTGAAGGAAAAAAGGGTTGGATCCCTTTTTTGTCGGGGAGTGTCAATGTAGCTGAAGATTGAACGATCAATTCTTGGTTGTTTGCTCAAAATCAACTTCCCCAATTTTCGCGGAAGCATCAATACGACAGTCATCGTCTCATCGGTCGCTGTTCAGAAAGAAGATTGAAACATCGTCAGAAGTAATACAGAGATTTATTATTGTAATATTTGTTTTCAGACCTTAGTTTGCTTAGTTCGCTTATTCCTTCTATATGTTGGTGTAACAATAAACAAATATCAAACGGCAGATCGGTGTTTTGGTTTTTGCGTCCGTTATAACTAAGCGTTTCTGAGAAATCTTCTAAGAACAGCGTGGGCCCGAGCGTAGCGAGAGCTGGGCATTAACGGTTTATGAGACTTTGCTGACAGCAGTCCCTTTGCAAAGGCTGAGCCGAAGCTTTTTGGTCGGAGAAATAGTAGAAGACATTTGACAAAATTAAATAGCTGCTCGACAACCAACAAATGACACTAAAACTGTAGTACCCCCATACCAACCGTAAACATGCTTTTTAATCGAATTTGTATACTTGCATTATATGTGTATACAGACCGATTTTATATATACTTCGTAAATACTTGTCCATTCACTGTTGAATATTACCTTGACAAAATTTCGAATTTGACTACTGCTTCAATACATATTCGTAATCTTCACAAGTGCCTTTTGATTTACGTTGTGGGCGTCGAGTAGCCACAACGTCTGCGCACATCAATAAGAGCGAAGAAATACATAGAATATATGTGTACAGCAGTTTAGTCAGACAACGCACGCAACAAAATTGGTGAGCCCGACAACCAATTTCGACAGCGACGACAAATTGGTATCCTTGACGATAACTGGTTCACCCCGACGACGAATTGTTGACCCCAACGACAAATTTCGACCCCGACGACAAATTGTCCATCGCAACGACAACTTTTTCACCTCGACGATAACTTGTTCACTGCGACGATAACTTGTTGACTCCAACGACGTTTTGTTCACCCGGACGCATCATTACACTTGCTGGATTAATTAAACTCTAACTTTATCGGATATATATACATATAATAGACATTTCGAGCTGATTCTTGTGCTTTCTCATCGCACAACTTGCAGTAATCTGTGGTAAGCACCGCATTGCATGTTTTTCTGTTTTACCATATTCTTGGTGTGCATAATTTTTGCTATTTTGTTACTGTTAAACCATTTTTCTACGAATTGTATCATGTCTTCCGATACCCCTGATACCTTACAGCTGGGATCTGTTGGTACCATTTCTCTTACTGTACCAGTTTTTAGGCCCAAAGACTCCCATCTTTGGTTTGCACGACTGGAAAATTATTTCACTGCCAATAAGCTTACGTCACAGACGGTTAAATTTGGCATATTGAGTACAGTACTACCAGACGAAATCGCCGAACAGGTTCGACAACACATAGTTCAGCCCAGCACAGACGCTCCTTACGACAAGTTGAAAGAAGAAGTACTTCGATGCACTTCACTTTCTGATAGGCAAGCACTCGATCGTTTGTTAAGCAACGTAGAGCTAGGCGATAAAACCCCATCACAACTCATGAGGCACATGCAAAGCCTAGTAGCAGGAAGGGATATCGACAAAAGTCTCTTTTACCAAATTTGGTTGCGACGACTTCCTGCAAACATTCAACAAGTTCTTGCTTACGGAGATGACGACATTGACATTGAGAAGCTTGCCAAAATCGCAGATCGCATGTATGAGAGGTCAACACCTCAATCTGTTGCTTCCACCAGCAGAATGCCAGACACTGACGACAGGATACAGGCTCTAGAACACAAAGTCGACACCGTACTGAGTCAGTTAGCAGCACTGACCACACGCACACGACCAAGCCGTTCTAGAAGCTCGTCTCGTCGACGTCTTTCTCGATCACCCAGCACGTCACGACATCACGATACTATTTGCTGGTACCACCGTAGTTACGGAGACAATGCACGACGGTGTCGTTCACCTTGCAACTTTCAGGCTAAACCAAAAGATATATCGTCATGTATGAAAACTTCTACTGTTGGCAATCTACGATCTAGCAGTCGTTTGTTTTATGTAACAGATAGAAATACCGGTACTACGTTCTTAGTCGACACAGGAGCAGAGGTTAGTGTTCTCCCTCCGACTACGCAGGAACGTCAACATCCTGACCCTGCAGTTACGCTCCAAGCCGTTAATAAGTCTAATATTGTTACATATGGTAGTAAACGAATGACTTTAGATTTTGGTCTGCAGAATACCTACGATTGGTCTTTCATCATCGCAGACGTTCCATCCCCAATCCTTGGTATAGATTTTCTACAGCAACACAAACTGCTAGTTGATCCGGTAAGCCCTAAGCTTATAGACTCGCTCAATAAAAGGTACATCGCTGGTACGATTAGCCGTGCATCATCGCTGAACTTGATGGTCACACGCACACCAGCATCTCCATATACTGACTTAGTAAATCAGTTCCCTGACCTTCTACAACCCTCTTTCCGAGCAACAGAACTAAAGCATCAAGTGGTTCATCACATTAAAACCACTGGACCACCAGTTTTTGCACGTCCTCGACGCCTTGACCCACATCGACTTAAAATCGCAAAAACAGAGTTCGATAAAATGTTAGAGCTCGGCATTATTCGACCATCCAACAGCTCTTGGTCTTCACCGCTGCACATGGTACCCAAAAAGTCTTCTGGTGAGATACGGCCATGCGGGGATTATCGAGCTTTAAACAAGCAAACGGTACCTGATCGATACCCCATACCGCATATTCACGATTTCGCCAGCAACTTGCCAGAGGTTAAAATTTTCTCCAAAATCGACCTTGTCAGAGCGTACCATCATATTCCCATCCACCCGGATGACGTTCCAAAAACCGCTATCACCACGCCATTCGGCTTATACGAATTCGTGCGCATGCCTTTCGGGCTGATGAACGCCGCTCAGACATTTCAACGTCTCATCGACCAAGTACTCCGCGGCCTGCCCTTCGTCTACGCATACATTGACGACTTACTAATTGCAAGTGCAGACGAAACCGAGCATGTGAAACATGTGAGGACGGTGTTTGAAAGACTTCACAAATACGGCATGACTATCAATTTAGATAAATGCGAATTTGGTAAGAAATCACTGAAATTCCTCGGTCACTTGATTGACAATCAAGGAATTAGACCAGTCCCCGACGATGTACAAGCCATCAAAGACTATCCATTACCAGATTCTTTCAAGAAACTACGGCGATTTTTGGGTCTAGTCAATTTTTACCGGCGTTTTATCCCGAACTGTGCTAGAGTTTTGCAACCGTTGACCGACTGCTTACGTGGACATAGTCGTTCATTCCATTTGCCTGCAGAAGCTGTTAAAGCATTCGAAGCTGTTAAACAATCACTAAATGACAAGACGCTCTTAGTCAGACGCCAGAATGACGCCCCCTGTCTCTCATGACAGATGCTTCAGATGTCGCCATTGGGGCAGTGTTACAACAGCAGGTACATGGCGAATGGCAACCCCTTGCATTCTTTTCGAAACGACTGAATCCTACTCAATGTCGATATAGCACCTTTGGTAGAGAGTTATTAGCTGTTTATTTAGCAATCAAGCACTTTCGACATATGCTGGAAGGTACACCTTTTACTGTCTTTACAGACCACAAGGCTCTAACGAAAGCCTTATCAGCAAAACAGGATAACTACTCTCCACGTGAACTACGACATCTCGAGTTTATATCCCAGTTCACCTCCGATCTGCGACACATAAAGGGTAAAAACAATGAAGTGGCAGACGCTTTATCACGTATGCACATTGATAACATTGTATGCCCAGACATCGACTACGAACATCTCTCAAACTTACAACGAGATGACGCCGAACTCAAAAAGATCATGTCTTCTAAAACAACATCTTTAAACCTCGAGGCAATTCCTTTCGGCACGACAAAAGTTATCTGCGACACCTCTACAGGTAAATATCGACCTTTCGTTCCAATAGCTATGAGACATACAGTATTCGAGAAGTTACATAACTTGTCGCATCCTGGTGTTAGCGCTACTACCAAGCTACTAAGAGAAAGATTTATCTGGCCAAACATTAACAGCGACGTTAAGAAGTGGACACGAAATTGCTTGTCTTGTCAAAGAGTCAAAATCAACCGGCACACCAAAGCACCACTTGGTCGCTTCCCTAACCCCGACTCTAGATTTGACCATGTACATGTAGACATAGTTGGTCCACTGCCTCCTTCCAATGGTTTTAACTATATTCTAACCTGCATTGACAGATTTACTCGTTGGCCAGTAGCAGTTCCATTAATCGACGTCTCAGCTGAAACGGTAGCTAAAGCTTTAGTCGAAAACTGGATAGCCAACTTTGGTGTCCCATCAATTATCACTACAGACAGAGGTGCCCAGTTTGAAAGCCGACTTTTTGACCAACTAACTGAATTACTAGGCATTAAACGAATACGAACGACAGCGTATCATCCTAGTTCCAACGGTATGGTCGAACGATTTCATCGACAACTCAAAGCTGCGCTCGCTGCTTCTTTGACTCGAAACGATTGGTCAACCAAACTTCCACTAGTATTACTTGGTATACGAGCTACTATAAAGAAAGATATTGGCTGCTGTGTTTCCGAACTAGTCTACGGAACAACATTACGATTACCAGGAGAATTTTTCACCCCGGGTAACAAGTTCCACACGATATGACTGGTTACGTGCATCAGCTAAAACGACACATGAACGAGCTAAAGATATCAATTCCACGTCAGCAGGAACGAGCGTCATACATCCCGTCACAACTGACAGATTGTACTCACGTCTTCGTCAGGAGAGAAGGTGTACAACGACCACTTCAACCCGCTTATGATGGCCCATTCAAAGTTCTAAACAGAAACGCGAAAGTTATCACGATAGAAAGATTGAATAAAACAGAAGCCATCAGTATCGACAGAGTCAAACCAGCGTTCCTCGACGATTTCGAAGTCAACGATAAGAACCAGCTGAACGACGTGCCAACACCTACATCCACACAAGCTTCAACGTCGACAGAGAAGCCTGCGAAAACAACACGATCTGGTAGACGAGTCCATTGGCCTAAACGTTACGTGCAAGTCATCGAAATATAACTTACTACGAATTTTCATTTTTATTATCTTTATTCGTAATTGTCATTTGATTACTCATTTAACTGATTAATATTTTCATACATAAATCACGTCACTATTATTTTAACATCGATATTTCCTATATTATTATATTTAATCACATCTCGTATATTATTCACGTATCGTTTTCGTCTACCGACTACAGATCCCCGGACAATTTTATCGTTCCTTATATATTCTATTACGATTAGTAATTCCACTTTCCCTAGATTATCGCATTTATTATCGACGTTATTAACCGCATTAAACTGCTCATTTTTCAGCTTAATAAATCGCCTTCTGTGTACTATCGCTGCTACGTATTACGCTGACGCATGTTATTTTCGAACACTTAAATGTATTTTTTTTATATTTTAGTGTTCTGGTGGGGGAATTATGTAGTACCCCTATACCAACCGTAAACATGCTTTTTAATCTAATTTGTATACTTGCATTATATGTGTATACAGACCGATTTTATATATACTTCGCAAATACTTGTCCATTCACTGTTGAATATTACCTTGACACAATTTCGAATTTGACTACTGCTTCAATACATATTCGTAATCTTCACAAGTGCCTTTTGATTTACGTTGTGGGCGTCGAGTAGCCACAACGTCTGCGCACATCAATAAGAGCGAAGAAATACATAGAATATATGTGTACCGCAGTTTAGTCAGACAAAGCACGCAATAAAACTACCTGTACCTGGAAGACAGTTCACAGTGTGCACAGATGCCAGTGACTACGCCATAGGTGCGGTCCTAAGACAGGGTGAGGGAATCTTTGAGTATGCCAGTCGGGTTTTGACACACACAGAGCGAAAGTATTCAACGATAGAGAAAAAATGTTTAGCGATGGTATGGGCAGCCGACAAATGGAGACCATATTTACTCGGCCGGCGGTTCCACATCAAAACTGATCATAAGCCGCTACAGTTTTTGAAGACAGCGAGAGACCCACGGGGGAAATTGTCACGGTGGATGTTGCGCCTTCAGGAGTACGATTCTACGATCTCACACGTTCCCGGAAATGAAAACGTCTTGGCAGATTTCTTTTCCAGGCCAGAAGACGAGCGTGAGTTGCCCGAGGTCGCTTACGGAGTGCATGCAGTAGAACAAGACCCACGAAGACTTGCACGCAGGCAAAGGTTGGACGATACGCTGAATACAGTAATACAGGTGATCACCAACGGAATAGAGGTGGATCAAGCTACAGCGAGTAAGGAGCCAACCACATTATTCAGACAGAGAGATCGACCAAGAGTGAATGCCTACGGGACTCTGACCTGGTGAGAGAACGACGGAAGCTGGCTGGCAGTCATACCTCAATCGTCGCGCCACAACACGATAGAAGAATGTTACCAGCTAGCACATACAGGAGTGGCCAGAACAACGGATCTCTCTTAGGCGGTCAGTTAGTCCATATCCAACTATTAGAGTTATATCACAATCCACCCAATGTAACACACGAAATACTCATCTGTCTTATTTTGGCAACTTCACTTGCTGAAACATTGCTTAACTATCAGTATCGATAGTTATAGAACCAACGCGAAACCATAACGATACTCCAACTAAACTTTTAATAGTAATCTGTCCATGGAACAGCTGGCCGTTTAAAAGTATGGGTGATAAGGTTAACGGTGTGAAATCTTTTAAGATTATTAATAGACAATATAACTTTATTCTCCGCATATTTGCCGAAGCAATAATTGTCTCACGCTTGAAACCAGATTTGTGTGTTTAGAAAGATCTACTCATCAGTCTTCCCTTATCTTCTTTCTACCATCTGATTACATAACCCTCGCTTTAATCTTCACTGCCTTTTTTGTCTTAATGTAATTCAGTTTTTATTTCTGTGACTTGAGTTGAACTCACTGAACTATTACGCAACCGATTAGTTACTTATCAACAGTTACTCACCTCTTGGCTTGATAGTGCAGCTCAATTCTCAATGTATTCGACAATTAATTTTGCATGTATGCATATTGTTTATATTTTGACCTGTCTGCATAAGTTATATAGGCGTAACCTTTGAGCGTCGTTTACTAATTTTGTGTCTCTGTTTACCGAAAATTATGTAACCCTTGAGAGTACGTTAACATTTCTCCGTACACAATTAAACTTTAGGTTTTATGCAGCTAAAATGAAACCGACGAAGCATATGAGGGCCTCATCTTATTCTGCACAAACAATAGTTTTTGCTTTACTTAAATTCATAAATGGGGGAAAATCTACAAACCAGGATCATCAGCCTCTGCAAACGACTTCATTATCGACGTCAACTATGTTGTTTGTAGGAACATAGATTCCTATGCATCAAATTTCCATCACAGTGATTGAGTCTTATACCAGCCACGAAGAGAATAACTAGTGGGGTACTAATAGTTAATCGGAGCTGAATTACATTACATGACTAATAACCTATAAGACTGGAATTATAGAACTGTTTCTTTACTGAAGCTAAGCTATCTTCACGTTACACCTAGGAAAATCATAAAGTGTCAACTTAACATGTTGGTCGCCGGAAATCGATGCTGATTATACGAGATCAATGACTTTTCCTAACTTTTAGAACAAGTTATTATGTGAGAAATCCTTATGAATTACATCGCTACACTTGTTAGACACAAAGGAGTATTTTTCCCGGTTTCTTATTAATTAGCAATTAAGTGACCCTACGGAGAACTGTCGAGCACAATTGACGACGTAGCTATTTTAGATATCGTTCAAACAGAAATGCAAGACTAAATGAAAATCATTGCAATTTGTGCAGACATCTGGAGACGTTTAGTGTTGCATAAGATAACAATGAGTTATTCGTAAATTTCGAGTTGACCTTAGAAACTAATGTTCAGTGGAAATATGAAAATTGATAAAAGACCCTACCGGGTAGTGATACAAACCAACTTAAAATTACAATCATTAGGATGAAAAAAGTATTTTATTATATCATTTAAAGTGTATGAAATATCAACGTCCAACAGCTTTTTTCTTAGTATCTAACTGTACATCAATTATTCTACCGGGAGCGGAAACTGTTTTTGGTTGGGAAGTAGATTTGGTCGGATCAGACATGTATGTAGTAGGAGCGCCTTTAAGACCAGCCTTTTGCCAAGTTTTCGCATTTACTCGTTCTCTTGTCTCCATCTCAGTAATTAGGCGAGAGTTATTCATTGCTTTTGAGGCAGAAAAAAATCAAAACAAACCAGAGATAGTGAGACAGTGACACTTACAGTTGTGAGAGTAAAGAAGAAAAAAAAGTGGGACTTTTTGTCATCTTTGGCAACTGGGATCCACTAAATCATTTAAGAATACCAACAAATAATAAAAATAGTCAATTCTTCAAAGAATACGGTACAGCATATTCCATCAATCAGTTTCATCAAAGGAAGATGTATTACATTTGCAGTGAGAAATATGAGAATTTTCATCTCGGAGAACCTTTTCAGTTATACGATTGCCTGCCCAACACATTTGTTTATTAAGATTACATAAGTCAGCAAATAACACTTCATATTGCATGTGCTGATAATATTATAAAAGTAGATTATCCAATACAATCTTTTTTGTAGACCTATTTGCACAATACACTCAAAAATGTGAATAAAGCGTACCCACAGAGTGAAACCATTGACTCTACCATATTACCAAGCAGACAGATTCAGGAAGTCTTCATTCGATTTATAAATCAAGGGTTGAAGAATTCAAGTGTTGGTTTGTAGGGATATGATTGGTTACAGGATTTCATCATGAGCTGACATTTGTTAGAAAACCATTGGAAAACCTGGGAGTACTGGGCAGCTGTTTCGTCCTAGTCTGAAACTCTTCAGCAGTACGCATCCACCGGGGTTCGAACCGAGGATTTTCTGATTACGAGGCGAGCTCGTATACCATTAAGCCACTGGGACCCGATCGAATAGCCCATGAATTCTAACTTCTGCCAATTCACGACATAGCGCGAACCCTAGCTAATGTCTTCGGCGAGTATTTGTGCTCGGTGGCTTAATGGCATACGAGCTCGCCTCGTAACCAGAAGGTCCTAGTTTCGAACGCTGGCGGAGGGTGCGTACTGTTGAAGAGTCTCAAACTAGGACGAAACAGCTGTTCAGTACTCTCAGGTTTTTCAATAGTTCTTAAACCAGGGTCGAAGAATTGTCAGGAAACATATATAGGAGAAAAGACATTGACTCCATGACATATAATATACAGCAAAATCGTATTATTGTTGACTAGATACATACTTTAGTCCTCATAATCATGCCAAGGAAATCAAAAAAATTCATGACTTACGTCATACTGTTCTAGTACTTCGCATTTGTTAGACCATAATAGTTGCGGAATCTTCAACATATCTGACCTTTATTACACATCAGTTTTTTCCCCATCCCCCTTATGATAATACCATGGCAAGGTCTTGATTTTTTTCATACTGACAGTTGTGACTACTAATTGTATTATTACTTCTTAAGTCCATATACTCACTAGACTGTGCTCAATGTTTTAGAGATAGCATTGTTTAAACTTATGTGTTGTTTCTGTTTAATTTTAAGCCTACAATCTTCATTTGGCTGGGTATGAAATGAATCCCACCTCCTTAGGTGACACCGGATCTTATTCATGGCCTTTGGACAAAATATAAACTCACATCTACAGTAACTTAACGGTAGAATTTATTACATCAAAAGCCATTTACGACTGTGGATACTGATAGTTTCATCTTTAGCCCCCTTTTAATTTACAGATGATAAAATGGAATTTAAACTCTGCATAAATAAAGCATAAGCGACTCCCTAGTGGGATTTCTTCAACTGGAGCATTGATTGTATATCTGTGTGACTTTAGTTCCGGCTTTTTTTTTGTCTGCTTCCACAGTTATGTCAGTTGAAAAACGAGCATATAAACTCGCTGCATCAAAATTGATTACTCTGTTCTACCCTTCCATTAGAGTAACCCATCACCTCTGCTTTAAATCTTATGATTAAAACGGTCTTTTTTCTTGAGATTGCATTCGTATACTACTCCAAAATAGGAGGAATATGCTAACTGAATTAACACTATACTGTTCACAAGAAGATTAGAAAACCTATAGTGGTATATAATTTGTAGAAAAGTAGTAGAATCAAAATAATAGACTGTCATAATGAACAAGATATACTTACATTCTTTGAAACCATCAAGAAAACCACGTTTCTTTTGAAGTACTGGGGGTGTTCGAGGAACAGGTATGTTAAGAAATGAACGAACAGCCGGCTGACGCAAAACTAATGTCTGGATGAAGGCAAGTATATTGCTTACTGTCCAGTACCATACCAAAGCCTATTAAAAAGTAAGAAGTACAAATTTACATAAAAATAACTGCACAATCTTTGACTGAATTGAAATAAATTTTTGACTAAAAAGGATTTTTAACAAGGTGTTTCTAGGAAAATACAAATATTACATTTACATTATTTGAATGAAGCATTCCAATTTATTAACAGTTCAAAGTCTTGAATTTAAATCTCGTTTCTGTTACTGAAGTTTGTGGAACACAGAAATGGAGCTAGTTGATATAAAACTAAATACACTGCAAGCTCATATGTAAGCTGCAGTAATCAATAACAAATAAAGGATTGTTGCATTCCAGTTACAGTTTCTATTAACAACTCAAGTATTAATAAAAATTATAGAGTATAAAGCAAACACAACGGTTTGTGTGGAATAAGACGATACTATTGTAACAGCAGAAGACAAGACACGAAAGCCAAGGTATATATCCAAGTGATTAAACCACTATATATATATATATTCTTTAACAAATCACTGAGCGTGTGATTTTGGTTTACGTTAAATGACATGAAATAGTGTTCAAATACATATATTATTGTGTTGTTAACGTAGTATTGAACTTTGGGAGTATGTGAGAATAATATTCCATTGGAACATATAGTCTGCATCACACCACCACACTATACTTAGATTATGAGATCTCACACTACAACAAAAGATATATGGCACTTTAATCCTAGTTTCATTCCAGTAACTTATATTACACACAAACAATAGCAACTATGCTACACAAAAAATCTTGACATTATAAACTGTGGTTGGAGTGCTACTAGCAGTAGTAAATAAGTTAGGAATCATTTAAGTTTTGGAGAAAAATTAATCGACAAAAACATGAGGAAAACCTCCATCTCTGAGGTCTACAACTGTTCCTAAGAAAACTGTCTTCGTTGTTTTCAGCAGCATACAACCTAGAAAATTTATTAAGTATGCGTACTGAAGTGTGCGTCGGTGGCACAGCGGTTAGGACGCTCGCCGACCATGCACATGGTCTGGGGTTTGATCCCCGGCTGACGCATCCCTCTACCTCGCTAAACCAGAAGTAATGCTAGTAAAAAGGAAAGGTTGGGCATGAGATTAGCAACCCCATCCTGTAAAATAAACATTGCTACAGAAACTTTAAGTCTGTAGCTTGAAGCCCTATGTTCCACTGGGGGACGTGAAGGAAAAAAAATAAAGTACTGAGGTACTTTTTCGCATACTTGAAAAGGTCATATGATGTTAGTTAATAGGCAACTCCAAAAATAATATAGTGTGCAGAATTTACACACCCGTATAAGTTGTACACAGAAGGTTCAAGGTTAGACAATAGATGTTTCGATACATTGGAGTTGCACAATAAAAACAAGAGGTGGATAAGTTGGAGGTAAGTGACTAATAAGCCGTAACTCAAACACAACACAAAAATATAGAAAAATTAATTAAAATTACACCTCACACTATGTAGCAGAATTTTCAAGGACAAAGTTTACCAGTATCTGATTGGTCAAAAACTTATGTGTTTAATTATAATTACGATTGTACAGCTCATGAAAATGAATCGTCGAAAAGAAAATTTTCTTCGCTATTTGTGCCTTTTCTTATGACTCAGTATGGGTATATTTCGTTCATTGAAAAAAGGAAGAGTTAAGAAAAAGAGAAGGAAAGATTGAGAAATGCTTCTTTATGAACACAAATCAGGTTATAAGCGTTTACTAACAGCTTCTTAGATAAACTTTAGAAGAACTGAATTACACTGTTTATTGATAATCTTATGGGATTCAAAGATGTCTACTTAATGGACTGTATCAACTAGATACTTGGCAATAGTACTGCTGAAACCGTTTGCTTCCTTGAGACGTAAGATTTCCGGTAGATGTTTAAAGAATCAAAGATGTGTCTTTCTTCCTGTCGTCTAAATATAACGACTAACACAGACAGATACATGTAAATTTGGTTTTAAGGGAGATTTTTAGCTCAGGTGGATGACATTGATGTAGTTGTTTTCTCTGAGCTGGATGGTTCCAAAGCTTTCATTGTCTTACTAGACAACATTCTCAGCGAATTTGTTAATTTGAATTCAAACGTTTAAATTCCAGCACTGTGAGAAGCAGAAGTTCAGAATGCTGACAGATAACATAAACAATTTCATGAAACAGAATATCTTGTAAGCATAGAGATTAAATCAAATGTGATACCGTGAACTTATTTGGAAACATTCATATAGCTCATACTTCCAATAAATTGGAAAGAATATTTCACGATATATGCAGCTAGTAGTTGACGAATTGGCTCCCAACTTCTCTGAATGCCGAATAGCAACTTAGTGCTGTAGCGAGTTGATCAAAGAAAGTACTTTTCTCAAGGGAACATTTATGGTTTCAGCAAGCCATAAATGAGGACCGCAGGGTTTTAAATCATTATTAGTGTTACTGTCAATCTGCTTCTTTTTCAAGAGCTCTTCTCGGTATATTTTTGGTGCTCTTTTTAATTGAATCGGTCTTAATTTTTCATAACATTTTCCATTTCAAACCTCAACGGGTCGTTCAGAATCGATTTCACCTCTGTGACATAGCCCTCTTTTTCCATCAGTAAAATCAGTAAACTTTTTCAGGTTGCAATTAAAAGGCATTCAAGTGCTTTTCAGTGTTCTTCTAATAGGATTTCAGCATGCGGGGTTAGTGGAGTATGATATTCCTTTGCAACGTCCACCCGTTTAGATTCTAACCGAATTTTCTCGCCTTCATCCAATGAACTTAGGGCATTCAGTTGATAGAATTAGTTTTCAGATTGAGCTGTTGCGTGAATTTTTTTGATAAAGTTACTCAAAATATGAAAGTTATATCCAAGGGAGAGAGCTTCAGTTACAGTTTAGTTTCATTTCAAAGATATGCTTCTCGAAATTTTCTGAAAAAACCACCATACACTCTCCGTTATCAAGGTCTTGAACAGAGTTTAGTAAAAATGTATATATGTTTCATGGTGTAGATCTTAAATAAATAGATTCGATATTCGAACCAGTCACCACAACGTCACAGGAACTAGCTTCTGTGCTAGATTTCGAAATAAGAAATTTTGTTGATTTAACATGTTATTTAGTGACACATCGAAGGTTTGTGAAAGAGGATAGGGGTTCCTATGCACGAGTTGGTGACAAGGATAATGAGACCTCAAGCATGAACAGTAAAACATTAGAAGGGTTGCTTCTCTGGATATCTTGCAAAGAAGTGGCACTAATGAATTTAATGATTTAAAAGACTGTGCAGGAAGGTGATTTTTCAAAAACTTCATACACTCATTCCGCTTTATGAAGGAAGACCATGGTTTGTGCAGTATAACAGCAAGAAAGTTGAAAAATCTCCCTCTACATATACTTAATAATTATTTAGGTTGCTGGAAGCTGAGAGAAACCGGAGAAATAATACCAAATAATTTTATTCTGAACACATCACCATTGTTTTTGCTCTATTCAAAATTGATGATATAGGGAAGTGTATGAAATTTGGGAGAAATGGAGAAGTTTTAAAGAAGTCAAAACAAACACTTTAAACGATATTTGAAAACTAATTAATTATTTTGTCTGCAACACCGTGGGCCATATCAAGCGTTCCACCTGAATTTTGTTAAAATATGCACCGAATATTACAAAATAAATCTTTTATAAGTTGTTTCAAAAAAAAGGAGAATATCCCGACAAAAAAACTTAGACATATATAGAGGTATTTTTAACCACCTAATAGATTTCTCCTTAGAAATCCGGAGCAGTAATTGCAATCTGTTAGTTAAGCCGGATACATTTGAGTGGCACGTAAAATCCAAAACACAGGATTCGTCTAAAATACCATTGTGGTAAGAGCTGACTGCAAGCCAAAAATTGTAGACAGCAATTTACGTCAGTGTTACCTTCGAAATCAGGGTCATGAGAAAAACGATAACAAGACTTAACCTTGAGGAACTCACCAACCAATCACATCAGACTTAACGTGTGCAAATACGATTCGCAGATATATGGCTTGACTTTTTGAGAGACGATCACAAGCAGTACAGAATAACCTCCGTCAACAAAACAACCAATCAGAAGACGTTGCTGTACAAAAAATCTATAAATATCACTTGATAATCTCAAAAAAGATCTGTTGTCTGGCCCTTGTCTTCTGTCGTTACACCATGATACAATATTTAGTTATTTCATACCTTTGCTTTCCGAGTAGGGCATAGGGCTTCAAGTTAGAGGTTTGAAGTTTTAATAGCAGTGGTGTTGTTTACTGTCTGTCTGTCTGTTTTCGACATAGAACTTTGCACAAATGTGCACCGGTTCAAGTCGCCACATTCCGTGCAGCACGCGAAGCAAGAGAAGTACAAGAAAAGCATAATAGAAACAGTGAGCAGAGGTGTGAGACAAAGGAGGAGAAATAACGAAGAACAAAACAGTTTCATTGAAGATCATAAGTCACAAGGAGTGGATGCATCTCCGCCAGCCACTGAGAACGATTTTGAGCCATGTCACCAATTGTTTCCAACCATAGATTTTTACCGTCCCGAGGACCCCAGCCTGGAAGTCTACACCTTCCTACGTGGCTTAGACCAACTGTTGTGGATTTCATTGACTGATGCCAAGTTTTTGTTTGACCGCCGCTAGCTTTTTTCCAGCCTGACCCTATATCCGCTAACATTGCTCGTCCAGGGAGGCGATGGCTTGGCATACGTAACACATGTCCTAACAATCTCAGTCTTTGTAGCTTCACGACTTCGTCGATTGATTTCCCCTGTTTACCTAGAACTCGACGCCTAACCTCAATGTTGCTCACCTTATTATGCCACTTCACACGGGAAATAGAACGCAGGCACCTATGATCAAACACAGCTAGTCTTTTCATGTCTTCCACTCTCAGTGGCCAGGTCTCGCTCACAACCATAAAGGAGGACGGAGCGGACTGATGAGCAGTACACCCGCCCTTTGGTCGATAGTCGAACATCTCGTCTACGCCAGAGTCGGTGTAAACTAACAAATGCGAAACGAGCCCCTTGTATTCGTGCTGAGATTTCGTCAGAGATCAGCCCGTTGGCACTGGCTGATGGTACTTCCCAAATAAGTGAAGCGGTCAACGTGCTCTACCACTTCACTTTCTATTTTTAAACTAGGCGTCGATGTAGTCCAGTCCTGTTGTTTACGGGATGGGTTTGCTAGCATCACGCCAAACCTTCTCTTTTTGTCGGTATTATAACCGGACAAGGGAGATAAAGGTGTGCGCCGGTCGGGACTCGAACCCCAGACCAGGTGCGTGGTTAGCCAGCACTCTACTACTGAACCACCGACGCATTATGACAATGCATTACATACTAAAATAATACACAGAATATACACGGCTCAATTTGTCAAGTGTCTGAACTGTACGCCAACAACTGTATTGTCACTGTGCCTCAATAAGCTGTGTGAAAGGTCAGAAACAGACAACGCCTAAATCTACAGATCAGGAGGAGAGATTCAAATGAACAATGCTCAATAGACAGCGCAACATAAAGAAAAGGTGTTCAGCAAGTACCATTTAACTATCAGAATATAATTACGCCAGAACAAATAGAATGTTGATATACTAAGTGAAATTGATTCTAGTGGAGATTATTAATTATAGTAACGGAGTAACGAAATGGTAAAAACAAAGTATGCTCGTACTACTTACTAATAATAAGTAGTATAAGGCTAGACACGAATTAAACAATAATAAAGGATATCTGAGAACGCAGTTAACAGGTATGTTCCTTTTACTAACATGTCAATTGAGAAAATCACTGAAGTATACAGTTCCAAAATCTTCAGGTCATTCAAATATTATACAAATAAGTAAGTTAAAGTAATCAAACAATTAATGAAACCAAAGGGTATACTTACAGACGGCATATTCATCACGAAAAAAAAACCAATAACAGGTACACCCCTCATAATAACTCGTACAATTGGCTGTACATTAGGCGAAGGCATTTCAGCAGCGCTCTAAAACGATAATCAGAAAATAATTTATGTTGTATGAGAACAACATTCGGGTCACAGAAGTTAATGGATGGGAAAAATCATGTGACCACTCAGTCCCTACCGACATATATATATATATATATATATATATTTCACAAGCCACTGATTGTCTAGCAAAGAAACAAGTACGTATGTTCGTGTTGGTAGTAGGTAACTACCTCCATGTAAAATAACTGGAGTCTAGCAAAAGAAGTCACTTTGGAGATTTCGGAAATGCATTCCCTAGAAGCACATGGCACTAGAATTATCCAATTATCGAGTAAATTTGTCACTACTTTTAGCCTCACTTAAGACAGATTACAAAATGTTTAAAACCGAGAATATATCAAAGTCATTAGATAGTAGGTAATACTTAATGAAAAAAACAACAGTGGAGATTACATACAAAGGGCCTTAGATTACCTCGAATGTCACTAACAGTGTGGTCATAGACATAATCGGCAAGATGTAATATGGATCGGCAATTGTTAAATCAGTGAACCAACCAATTCCTCCTGTTTGCATGCTTTCAACTGGCAGATTAACTAATCCTCGAATTCCTGTGAAAACGGAGAGGAAAATTGGAACCTAACAGTTTGAAAGATGAAGCAAAAAGAAATACTGTTACTGAATATTAATAGGATATTTCGCAAAACTATATAAATACGGCAAAATTACATAGAAACCAATATTTACTGTACATTCCAGTTAACGAAATCAAATATAATGGATAAGAATGAAGGCTAAATGAAAATCACACCTCAGAAAGAATTTGAACCAACAGCCTCCGGATTAATGTCAGTAAAAAGTCTGAGCATTGTGGAATAGATCAAATAAAGTACAATTATATTCAGTGGTCTATACACAATGATAAGTTTTGTTATTGGTAATATTTCGAGTAAAATTACTGCCCGTGTTTATACCACTGTTGGAATTGTTTTGTTTTTTAATTCACACATTTTTGTGTATTCAGAATTATATTCCAGGTTGTTGACAGTTGTACTGTTACATGTATTCGGTGTGACCTTAATGAATATAGATTCTGTTATAAGTCTGTCTTTTCATTTGTTCATATTAGTTTTTAGAATATAAACATTGTTCCAATCGACAGCCTCCGGATCACTAGGCCAAAGGAATCTGCCATCTTATCATTTTTTCTTTCATTGTGTATTTACTTTCGAAATTTAAGATGGTGCTGAAGAACCGGTCTGCAACAGCTCCTAGCTTAAGGATAGGGGAGTAAAATGGTTGAGCGTATTCACCACTTCGCTTATTTGGGAAGCTGTCTCAACCGTAATCGACTGATTGTCGACAAAACCTCAGCACGGGTAAATAAGGCTTGTCTAGCACTGGCCAACTTACTGCATCTTTGGCATAATTGTGTTATCCGGCTGTTAATTATATAACATGTGTAGAACGTAGTGCTTAGCTCTGTCCTTCTTTACAGCTCACGAAAGTGGAAGATACAAAGAGGCTGGCCATCTTTGACCATGTGTTTGAGTTCTATCTCTTGGTAGGTGGTATAACATGATGAGTAATAATGACAATTAATTCATTATGGATAAAATTTTATTTTGATAAATCAGACATTATTACATAGTAATATTAACTGATGACGTTTCCACAGTGCTCAAGTTTTATACTTATATCAATGACAATAAATATAGTGTTCAGCAAGAAGGAGAAGTCAATCGATGAGGTTCTGAAGCTGTGTTACGAATGACAAGCCATTGTCTTCTTCTCTGAGCAATGTAAGCAGATGTCATAAAGGGTTTGTAAAGAGTCAGGGATGTTCCGAACAAAACATATCGTAAGTATATTGAGTCATTGACTGTTCTTTTGAGCCAAATAGGGAGGTATAGACTACCTAACTGTGGTTATCAAAACGCTAAGAACTAATGACTGTTGGTGACACTGCTTAAAATCATTCTCAATGTGGAAGATGTAGTTCATTCCTTTGGCAGTCAGATCAAATCTTAGGCTAATCAAACGTTTCCATCGTTATATTGCATATAATTCCTCTTATTCATATTATTTTATTCGATTAAAACATGGAATCTAATGATGCTTTCTACTCTTGCGAGTAATTAAAATATCTACAACCTTCTGATGCGTAAGTCTCTATTAAACTTGAGAAGCAGCAGATTCGTGGTTAAATACGCAAAATAACTGTTACTGAGAATTTTGCCACAAACTACCATTGACTAAAAAGTAAAACTAACTGCCTAGAGTCTTCGATCATTCAATTATGTCCTATAGTCTTAAATTGTACTCCTGTACCTTTTTAATTGGCTTTCAACCAAATGTCGTGCATTTGTTGGAGATAAAGAAATATCACATGGGATTGGTTTGTGCTTCAAGTCAGACAACATTGTATCACGCGATCTACTGCTAATTACCATTTTATTAGATCTTAGACAAAGAGAATCTATTATGCAATAAATTCCACTGGGAATTCCATATGTTACATAAAAACTCTTCAAAATGAAGTTATTAGTATTATTGCTACCCCCTAGACCCAACAAACTCTCACTGTTCACTATGCATTTATTCTTCCTTGCGTAAATTTATGCTTTTTAAAGTTTCTTCGCATTTCTTTGGACTAAATTTGTGCCTTTTTACAAAGGTGACTTAAACAGTAGCACTTTTCTGTGAAGTTCTACACTGTGCGTCGGTGGCACAGCGGTTAGGACTCTCGCCGATCATGTACATGGTCCGGAGTTTGATTCTCTGCCGATGCACACCTGATATCTATGGTCGGCCTGCAAAATTTGGGCTACAGATATCATATGCTGACAATTCCATACTTGTACCAAAAATACGGTGTGGAATAAAGTTGTCATAAAAAAATAAATAAATAAGATAAGATAATACATTTTAGTGCAGTTCATGTACTCTCGGGAGCTGTGTTCACTAGGGGCGAATTTTCGTTAGCCTAACAGTTAGTGGTTACCGTATAGGTATGAGTAATTCCTTGTGTAATGACAGAAGGCGAGGGCCAGGCAACAGATTGTTTGTTGAGAAAATCAAGAGATATTTATAGATTTTTATGTACATTATTGTCAGCCTAGAAGCAACGTTTCTTGATTTATTGTTTTCTTGCTGAAGGTTATTCTGCACTGTTTGTGATCGTTCCTTAGAAAGTTAAGCCATATATCTGCGAATCGTATTTTCACACGCTAAGTCCGGTGTGATTGGTCGATGATTTCTTCAAGGTTAAGTCTTGTTATCGTTTTCCTCATGACCCCGATTTCGGAGGCAACACTGATGTAAATTGTTGTTTACAATTTTGGCTTGTTCGCAACCAGCTCTCACCACACTTGCATACATTGTGAAGACATGAAAGCTACCTGTATGACGTCTAAGTGATCCAGGCAAATAAAAAATATGGTATATTGAGAACTTAGAGAAATCGAAATTCACGAGTCACCTAGCGTCTAGTAATATGTGCCTGTTCCGAAACCTGGAAGTTGTGTTTTTAATCAATCGGAGACGGATAATTGTGACATACTGAAGATTTATTTTTAACTTTAGACGAAATGTGTGATAAGTGCTCTTCAGTTTCTGATGTTTACTTGTGAATGAAACTAATAAGAAACACATTAAACTCCTACAAACCGTGCAAGTTCAAAAATCGCACCACACAGCCTACAAACTATACGATCTTTAGCAGAAATTATTTGCAAAAAAATAATGAAGAGTTCTTGAGAAATGCAGATGAAGCCGATTGTACTAAGCATCCTATAGGCTACATTAAAATGGAAGGATTAAAAATAGTGGATTTCTTGTGAGATAGGAAGAATTCAATCAAAACAAGATAATAAGACGAAACTCACTTGGACAAAGATATATTTGAAGCTTTGTAGTGGATTCAGATTGTTTGTTGACATAAATTTCTGCATCTCCTGAGAAGTACGCATGACTGTAAACAAATGAAAAGATATATATATATATATATATATATATATATATATAATAAACAAGACTCCTTTCTGCTTTAGGCAAAACTAATTAGCGTAAAGCCAGTTATAATTATTTTCATATAGTTACAACTAACTGAATGAAAGCCCATCAATACGCCTGCTTTCCATCAAAATAACCAATCGTCCTACAGGAATAAAAGTAATCACATCAATGTATGAATAATCTTATCAATTTTTATTCAAGTGTTGGTTTGTAGGGATCCCTAGTGAGATGTCGTGACCAGTAGGGAACAGCAGGTCGAGTGTGAGGACAAGTACTCGCCGAAGACATTGACTAGGGGTCGCGCTATGTCGTGAATTGGCAGAAGTTAGAATTCATGGGCCACTGGATCGGATCCCAGCGACTTAATGGTATATGAGCTCGCCTTGAAACCAGAAGGTCCTCGGTTCGAACCTCGATGGGTGCGTACTGCTGAAGAGTCCCAGACTAGGACGAAACAGCTGTTCATTACTCATGGGTTTTCCAATGGTTCCCTAACAAATGTCAGCTCGTGATGAAATCCTGTTCTCAATTTTTCTTTGATTATTTTACTTTTTCAACGGGTGCTAATAACTCGGTACTGATAGAGCGAATATACAAATGTAACAGGAGTTAATGGAATATTTAAAAACAGTATTCATCACTTGGAATACACCCTAAGACACTCATATGATCAGAAAGTTCTCCTTACTTGTAATTCTATTTGTTAGCAGCTTTTAGTTATTTTCTTTTTGAACCGAAAATTTCACCTCTTAAGCCGATATCTAGGCATATTTAGTACCAGTAACACTTACTGATATTTATTCAATCTGAATCAAAAGACTTCCGCCAAAATTAGAACGGATACTTGCCTTTAGTGGACTGTCAACGTATGCGTGGTTGAAATTACTCAGATGTCAAAATTATGTCTAGTAGGCTTACGAGAATTCATCTGATGAAGCCGCGCCAGTAAAGTGAAAATGTTGTAAAACCAATATAAGAGAAGGCAGAAACCTGAAGGCATCACTGGGTATAATACAATGAATTGATTTGAAGTATGCTCCGCTAACGATATTGAAATTTATATACCATAAGGTTCACATAGGTTCAGCCCCTTCTACAGGCAAAAAGGAAGGAACGAACTGATGAGACAGTCAATATTTAAGCCATCATTTACTGCGGGAGGGAAATTTTCGGATTCAAATTTAAATTTGTGCTACAGCTTATACATAAGTTACTTATATCTTTTGAAATTCATTTGACCGCATACGGAAATGTGGTAGCTGATATTACATATTAAGGACATAGTAATATTTACTCACTGAAGACGTTTTACTTTTCAAAAGAATACCGGTGAAACTGATTTTATTCGTGTGCATCTTAGGTGTATTCAGTATCGTGGTTATTTACTTCTCATTACACTGAGTCAAATTTATAGTATAGTTAAGAATCAAATTCAAAAGTGCGAAACTACATTATTCATCTAAATTACTATCTTTGAATTGTGAAATAGTTTGAGAAGAATTATGTCCAGCAAGTAAGCTTCCATTTCAGCAATATAACTATGTACTATTTTGACCTCTTCAACTCAAATATCAGATAATGTTACATCAACTTCTATTATGTGGTAGGAGTAACTTAGTAAAAATATTTAAAAATAATACGAGTAGTTTAATTACAGATAACAAATGAAAAGAAGTAACAGTGATATAATGAAAGTGGTGGCGATTAAAACTAATAGTTATAATAATTAGTAGTGTTAGTAATAACGATAGTAATAATAAGAATAATAATGGATGTACACCCAAATACCGATGGAATTGACTAAAATATCATTCTAAACTTTATGGTTTTTCAATCTGTTGATTTAATGGACAGGATTGATCATTTGATAGTGATGTGTAGATTGCTTGTAAGGACACTTTATTATCAGATATAGTGACCAACTTTCGTTCCCAGTCATTAGTTTTTAACAATAATCCATAACAAGAAGATTGGACATGAGATTAAGTCAGACTGGGATAAGTATTCCTGTGGCACTGTATTCATTCCTCTCCTTCGATGAAAACAGCCCCAGCTTTAACCGGTTAGAAGTTGAGAAGAGAGAGATATTTTACTGCCATGTGTATTCAAGTGAAGACACACATTACTTAGCCAAAGCATGGTGCTTGTTTCTGTACACAATTTTAGGTAACAATTATTATCATGAATATTATAATAAATGCTTGCAGCCTTGCATTTGGGGTAGCCCCATAACAAAACATCATGCCACCTGAAATGTTCACTCTTTAATACCGACTGAGGAGCAAGCGAACTCTGCTAGGATCTTGGAAGGCTTTAATAAATATCTGTGGAAACTCAAGTCCCGGTGAAATTCCAAGAATAACTCCATCAATATGCTTGGAAGGTACACATGTCATTTGCACTCATCAGACCGCCTAGTGGAACTAGTATTACGTCCAAAAGATGTCAGTATTGCACTAAGAGCTGTACTACTCAAGTAAACCTTCATCATCAACTGTTAGTGTGGTTTTAAACTAGTTGATTCAGTTAAATTGGAAATTGACTGGTAACAGATGCTATACGCTCACGTTATCTCTGCTTGCGTATTGATGGATTTAAGTCCACCTCAGCAGACAGGAACATTGGTTGAAGTAGAATTCAGCTAACGAAATTAGAGATGATGAAGCCAAACGTCATACCAGTTCACAAAATCTCTGATTGCTTGTTTGAGGCACATAAGGAGGTTTGAGTTAGTCAAATAGAATTCTTAGGATGTCAAGAGATGGGGGGGGGCTGGAAACTTTTAACATAATTATTTAAACTGGCATAAATCTGTGCAAGGTTTTGCTTTGACCTCTTCCTATTTCTTTTGCCTCTCATTGATGCCATACATGCTAATTACAAGCTAATTCAATATTAGAGAAGGAAGCAACCGTGTTGGTAATAGGAGACACAAACAGAATCGAAAATAATTAATATGGAGCATTGTATTGTTGAGAAGGTATGAGCAATTCTTATTATCTGTCTGTCTGTCTGTTTTCGACATAGAACTTTGCACAAATGTGCGGAAGTTCAAGTCGCCACATTCCGTGTAGCACGCGAAGCAAGAGAAGAAAGTACAAGAAAAGCATAATAGAAACAGTGAGCAGAGGTGTGAGACAAAGGAGTAATAAAGAAATACAAAACAGTTTCATTGAAGATCATAAGTCACAGGGAGTGGATGCATCTGCGTCACTGAGAACGGTTTTGAGCCATGTCACCAATTGTTTCCAACCATAGATTTTTACCGTCCCGAGGACCCCAGCCTGGAAGTCTACACCTTCCTACGTGGCTTAGACCAACTGTTGTGGATTTCATTGACTGATGCCAAGTTTTTGTTTGACCGCCGCTAGCTTTTTTCCAGCCTGACCCTATATCCGCTAACATTGCTCGTCCAGGGAGGCGATGGCTTGGCATACGTAATACATGTCCTAACAATCTCAGTCTTTGTAGCTTCACGACTTCGTCGATTGATTTCCCCTGTTTACCTAGAACTCGACGCCTAACCTCAATGTTGCTCACCTTATTATGCCACTTTACACGGGAAATAGAACGCAGGCACCTATGATCAAAGACAGCTAGTCTTTTCATGTCTTCCACTCTCAGTGGCCAGGTCTCGCTCACAACCATAAAGGAGGATGGAGCGGACTGATGAGCAGTACACCCGCCCTTTGGTCGATAGTCGAACATCTCGTCTACGCCAGAGTCGGCGTAAACTAACAAATGCGAAACGAGCCCCTTGTATTCGTGCTGAGATTTCGTCAGAGATCAGCCCGTTGGCACTGGCTGATGGTACTTCCCAAATAAGTGAAGCGGTCAACGTGCTCTACCACTTCACTTCGTATTTTTAAACTAGGCGTCGATGTAGTCCAGTCCTGTAACATCATTTTGCATTTGGCGGGAGCGAATCGCATGCCAAACATTCGTAGATTGCGGCTCAAGGTGTTTAGAAGACTCTGCATTTCGTCAGCGTCTTCGCCTAGAAGGACTATATCGTCTGCATATTCCAAGTCAACGAGATTATTCCCCGGTAGCAAGTCAATCCCTGAGTCACTGAAGTCTTATTTGTTTAAACTATTTGTTTAAACATAGCATCAAAGTTAATATTACCTTTTAAAACCCCATCACGAAGAGGTATTTAAAAGTACCAACTGTTGGGGTGCTGCACAAATCGCTAAGGTAACCTTATTGATATAAACAAAAGCTACAAATTGGGTTTGCAAAAATTGGACTTTAGTGACCGATGTTTTACTTCTATAAAGTATTACAGCTGGAGATACTGACGGATCTTGTTACGGTTAATTATAACGAAGCCAAAAGGGATGATTTTGTTCTTGCAAACTGGTTTCCAGGAAATTGTTTCTATTACAGTGATATGCTACTCTCGGTCATACTGTCATCCAACGAACTAATATGGCATAACAGAAATCCAGGAGAGAAAGGGGATACACGTTTTTATTTTCATCTCCTGCTTCCCGAGTGAAACGTATAACTCTAAGTTATTTTGGATTTGCAGTAGCGGTATAGTTTGAGGGGAGTTTTTAGTTTCATGTCCAATCTTCCCTCTTTACTACGCTTACTATCGGCTAGGTGAAGGTTTAAGAATGTGTTGGCTGGGAATCGAGTCCAGGCATTTAGTGTGGTTGGTGAACATTTTACCACTGGACTATCGACAATACACGTCAACCACAGTGTAATAAAACTAACGGTCAGCTTACAGTAGCACTTATCAGTTGTAGTCAATATGTAATCCTAGTATCCGTTACAAAAACATGACTCACCTTCAATATAATTTCCTGAAAGTCTGGCGTGCGTCAGACGTTCTTGTAAAATTGTGAACTGAGGCATCGCGTCAGTGAACTTGGCCAAATTACGTCGTTGGCGAACCATGAGTGGAAACAAACACAAACGTATTATGACAGTTGCTGAAAATGAGATTAAATTACATAGAAAATATTATAAGTTGAAAATGCAAATTGAAGTTTTTGAAAGAACAGTATATATATATATATATATATATATATATATAACTGAAACAATCGGTCGAACAAATTTCCATGGAAGCCGAACGACGACTGCTGTATACAGTAAAAGTCTGCGACCGCAAGATAATATAGGTGAATACAATAGGGTAGGGAAGTATGTTATTACTTTGAGAAAAATGTACGGATAGATACTTTGTTATCTAGAATCTTCCAGTGTTTATGTTCATTCCTTCAAAACGTCAATCTAAAAATTATAGAGAATTCAAGAATAGCCAAAGAATACACGAAACTTGGTCCTAATTACTCTCTACTCTTCCAAGATACATCATATTGTGCGAATAATGGTTGTGTGAGTAAAAAGATAAGTTTACCAGTGGACATAAGTTAAGTATCTTTCTCACCTAAATATCTAAATATTCGCCTTAAGTTGAATGTATGATGATTTACTAATAACAAAGCTGTCCAAATCTTATTTCCTCCTCGTTACCGAAATAAGGGAAATACACTAAGAAGGACGGTCAGATGAACAAAGTTGTCTAATGTAGTTTCTGTAAACAAGATTTATACCGTAGAATAATTTGATAACAAATAAACATGCGCTGAATACCATTTGTGCCATAACATTCAAGCATACAACTGAGAGGAAAGCAGTATAAAAAGTCTTGATTAGTAAACTTACTGGTAGTAATTGCAACCCACCACGGCAATTCTAAATGGACGTGTAAAGCCTCCAACAGACTTTGATACCACCCTGAAGGCCAATAGCTATTCAAACCCAGAGAGGCAAGAGTTGGTTCACCCAAAGAATTTAAAACAATTTCCTTTGGTGGTGGTAATGGAGCTGGAGGTAGATAAGAAGTGGAAGCTGTTGACAACTGAATACTGGTAGATAACTTGCAAATAGTGGGTGCGGCTCGAAATGCATGCCTAGCGAACAGCATTGTTGGTATTACTCTAGTTATTTCCCTCATTCGGAGCATGACTGTTAATTATCAACAGCTAGAAGATTATTCAGGAATGGAAAAATAATCTGAAAGACAGAATCGAAATGGAGAAACTAGTTATTTTTATATTAGCAGAAATATCCGTCACTAGGCAGCACAAAACGTTTGTGGAAAATAAATCAGGTGCTATATATAACATTCACCAAAATTGAATAATTGAAGGATTGGGTCAAAAACTGGTTTAACTTGCGAAAGAAGGAAAAGCAGGGAAGTGATAATTTTGAATGTACCAAAACAACAATAGTGTATTACATAAAATGACAAATTAAGGTCAGATTTAACACACTTTTAAATCATAAATCCCTGGAAAGAAGTCATATGGTAGCAAACATTCAAGTCCCCTCAGACCATCAGTAACTTCCCATGTTGGCAGAGAAGTGTCCCTCAGTTCTGTGCGTACTAATTAATCTGTATGGCTTCCAACTTACGCTAAGCAGTCTGCCAACAGTTTAGATTCACACAATGTCGCATTTTGGCCATCAAGATACACCTTGAAACTACGCACCAGAGATTGATGTTAACCAACCGACCTCCAGGTGCAGGAGCACGAAAATTTTCGAACTAATGTGCTATGTCCATGCCCTTGGTCTTTAGACCGACTGGTTTCAACATGGGAATTCGCATTGATGTGCAGCAGTTTGAGTTGCCACACTTTTTTTATTTTTGATTACAGCTTGATTCCACACCATTTTTTTCGTACAAGTATAGAATTTTCAGCACGGATATCGGTAGCCCACATTTTGCAGGCCGACCATTGATATCAGGTGTGCGTCGGCACATAGCACACGAAGCAAGAGAGGAGAGTAAAGAGAGATTCAAAACAGAGATGATAGACAGAAATGAGGCAAAAAGAATAGTGAAATGGAAGAAAAAGTTTTATAGGGTATTACAAACCACAAGGAGTGCATGCATTCGCGCCATTGAGAACGATTGGTGCTTCGACACCTTTCAGGTGTGGTGGTTATTCCCCAAGAATGAATGCTCACGGCATAACCGTATTCTAACCGACAATGACTTGTGTTGTTCCGCTAAATGATCTGGGAAAAACTTACACCCCAAATAAAACATTTCGACGGAATTTTGTTGAACCCTTTGTTTAGATACCTAGTGACTGTAACTAAGACAGTACGAAAAGTTTTGTTAACGATTTCTTATCGTACAACAAAAAGCTAAGCCGCCGAATGAGATTATCATAACATGTATCTCGGATGTAAGTACGGGAGGCCTCAGCTAGTTTTCGTCTGGACCCTACAGTCACAAAACAGTAATCTTTTTCTTCGTTCAGACAATTTAGGAAATGCCTTTACGGTATGAGTAGCCTTGAATTAGTAATTGCCAGAATACCTTTACAAACACACAAAGTACTTACGTTCATTTTCTTGTTTTCCTCTCAATCCTAATACTATTCACCAGACAGATTCTGCATTTCTTATCTTTGTAGCCGCTGCTAGTGACTTCAACTACAGAAATACTGTGTTTAGCCTCTTGAAATTGTGCTGGTAACTTCATATGGGGTTTCAATTTATGAATCTTATATGGAGTCAAAAAGCAGGCCTCACTAACCTAGTTACAAAATCTATGTTAGAGGTGGTAGCTTCTTTCGCTAGTTCTTGTGAATTTCACAATGACCGAAGAGTTTACTACTCTACTACATCCAAATTAGCATTTTTATGAGTGCTGCACACATAAATTTCTGCAAAAATAAGGAAAGATAATCGTCGAAGCACACGACTACAGTTCGGGTGATATAAAGGAGAAGTTTCACTAGAAGCTGTCTAGTTTGCAGCTAAAAACAGTGCTCAAGTACGAAAGCAGAGGCAGTCCGATAAAATACATTGGAAGAACACTGCTGTCGTATGCTGATGAATTGATGACCGCATTCGCTTCTTAAAAAACGTTAAAATGATTATCCGTTCCTTCTTAATGCTAACTTCAAACATAAAGATAGGAAGTGTTTCACTTAAAGATTGCCAACATTAAGCAAACAATGGATACAAATTTACCACTTTGCTGAAAAATATCGGTGTAAAGAATGAATGGAAGATTGTGTGCCTCACTGGAAAACCTATCTGGATTCTCATAGTGCATTCATCTGTACATGTCTGTCTGTACGGAGACGGAATATAAGCAACTACAAGGCCATTACATATCCAGCTGCACAAAGTAAAAATGGCCTTTCACAATATAACAATACATGCGTACGGGGGCAGTGCTAATCCTGACAGAAGATTAAGTCTGCTATATAAATTAAATGAGTTCATCTGACAACCCGAAGTTTAGGGTTAGTAAATGCTAATGGACTTCGGCCGTTTCATGAGAAATGATCGACGCCCCATGCGTGGTGAGAAACAACAACTGACAAAAGGCCTTTGCAATGACTCCAAACAGTGGCAAACGACAAACAATAAAAAGAATAAAAAGCATCAGTAATAACTGATATCCGTCAACTATCCAGGCTCACTGGGGAAATGACTTTAAAAAGTTTATGGTAGGTTAAATGACCTCAACGAATTAACATTTAATATATTTTAGGGGACGGAAGAAATAAAGAATTTTAGAAGCTGATCGAGAGACACAGATGCAAGACAGCTGCTATCTATTCAACCCTAGTCTGAATAAGATATGGCTTACAGCAGGACTTGACAGTCAACAAAGCCAAAAGATGTATTCACCTCAGTATAACAGAATTTAACATTGGAGATATGAGTTAACACAAGATAAACTACATAAAATTTTAAGGAACCGATATGGTAACTTCATTAGATAAACAACGCAAAATGCTGTGTAGTTACAGCATACTTCCTTACTGTTTCCCAAAGTAGTTTTCAGTAAAATTATTAATACTGCCATTGCACTACTTTATTTTGATAACTTCTGAAATCACAGAAACTTGAAGGTACATACATATATATATACCTCCCAGCCGAATATTCCTCAATCGACATCGAAATATCACTATTATTTAAGATCTTAAATCAATTATAGTCATTCATGTGCTATCGAATTACTATTTTGATTTTATTCGACCTGCAATTTTTTAAGGTGAAGCTTAATCTTAGTGTAACTTAAACGTCCAAAAACTTACGGAACGACTATCTCCTGGCTGATGACCTTCATTGGTTAAAAAGCCCACTCTTCTTTCAATGCACTCTTCCAATATCCAATATCGTTTTGTACGAAGTAGTGTACACCAATTTGATTTATTTGTGTTTGCTTCTTAATTATGAAGTTTAGTTACCCTGCCTTTTGTGTAAATCGTCACAACACTCGAAAGACGTAGCTTCGGTTCATTCCGAAAGCATTGGTACTGGGATTAATTACATGTAATTTTTAGTATACGATATGTTAAGACCGTGTTACTACTATGAATGGAATTGATCCTTTCACCCGTTAGTTGTCCGGTGCCGTTGTAAGAAGAGATAGTACTAACAGATATGAATAGCGAAGGTTAAGTAGACTTGAAAAATAGAAATTAAAAAAAGACAGCTAATGAGACTTGAAATCGGTTCGTGTGTTGTTCGTTTATATACACATTAGTAATAATAGTGGTGAAGTTCATTTCTGCATTCTGTCTACTCAATCAATTGTTTCAGCAGCTAAATAAACTCTAAGTCCTTTAATAACTGATGATATTCGCACAAGTTCCGGACTTTAGAGAGACGTTTTGCAACAAATTTCGAGGTTACCACATTTACCACTTTGAAATTATTCTGACATTTTTTGCAATATTCCTGTGCTAATAGTCTAACTAGTTCAGCATAACAATTTTAGTAGGGTGCCTTTTTGTTCGCGCTACCCCTTACGGATTCTATGATATCAGAATGCTGATCTGGTGTTAAAACGTCAACTGTATTTACTCACAAGAGCTTAAAAGTTTATTATCCATCTGCTCAGTTAGGATTGTCGCTAACCAATTTAGCGTCATGAAGATAAGCTTAGCACTTGTGTAGTTTACAGCTGAAATACAACAACTAATGCCTTGTTTGATCATGGGTCATACTTCCAATAGGATAACTGATAGTTTGCCTCTTATTCTTGGATAACGGCTGAAATACACAAGTGAAAGCGTTTAGGTGTCGAATAAATTTTCTCACTACAGAGTTAGGAAATGCGTACTGTGGCTTAGTTCATTTAATTCTGATACATAAGAATCGCTGACTTTCATATATAGGATATATGCCCCTTGTGTTAAGCCAGCCATTTCCTTCGAAATCTGTCAGTGCATGACCATCAGTGGCTATATAGTGTATTACCACACATAAATGAATAAACTGATGGTGTCATTAAACGGAAGTACAAATAGTCGGAGTGAACTGTTACAGTTTCATTCAATGAGCAGATCCATATCGATGAATTGTAATCGTGGTTAATGTGTGTAAATTTGTGATTATTGACTTAAATTACGACAAATGTTCGTCCAGATGTAGCGATCTGCTATCATGGTCACAGTACGTGTACCATATTTCACGTGGTTTTCTAGGGGAAGTTTTCACATATGGCGTCATGAACAAAAGTTGAAAATGTGGTGAAACTCATTCAAATTTCAGTTACGCTGTCTTGAAGTGTCAAAATCGCTTGTTTCCACACCAGATCCTTGCAATCTTGTGATAAACTAGAAGTTAAACTTAGTTATCATATATTACATTAAAATGAAAGGCCCAGATTAGTTAACATATTTAAATAGTTTGTAACAACTGCTAAAGTAAATACGTAATACAAATTTATATTTACTTACGACAAGGTTTAACTCTAACTTGCACAATATAAATAATATAATACATCGGTGCAGCAGATATGTATGCTTCGATGGTATATTCCTCTACTGTGGATGTTGCCAAGGGGCTATGGAATCCTGTTTGGATTAAGATGGAAAGGTCCCTGCGAATTCCATAGTAAGCACCCAGGAATCAATATCGGCAAACCAACAGTTAAAAAGAATAAGAGTACGGAGCAGTTGTAAATTTCAGTATAGCATA